CATTAACCATTTCGTGTAATTTAGAAGGATTATGTGATAAAGTTTTCAAGCGTTCGAGTGAAGCTCGAACTGGCAAGTACGAGTATAAATCAAAGTTATTTGACAGGCGAGATTCTCCAATAAAATGGTCATTTTCCTTTCTGCCAGCTCTTAGGAACGAGAACAATGTTATCATGAAACTTTCTCAGCAAAGTCCCGTATTTGTGTTGGGAACCAATTAATTAATTTAAAAAAGAGGACTCCCTCTTATTGCACCTTTTTCTTAAGTCGCTCGTGTTAAGATTATGAAACTGTTCTACTCTCAAGTCAATACGAGTACTAGCTTTATAAATACAAAATAAAGTATAATCAATGAGTCAGAGATGTCGTCGCTATCGCGCGACCTCTAACTCATTTGATAAAACGGTGTAGTAAATCAAAGACCACAAAATCTACAAACAGATAGTTTTGCAACCTTTGAATGTTTACGTCCAATAATATTGGCTCGTTCGACCGACTACGTAGTACAAATCTAATGGAAAGAATATTGCTATCTTGATTGAATTGTGGTCAGTAATAGCCGGCCATTTGTCTTCATTTTTGACCTCTGCCCAATGTAATGGGAGTTCACCTTAAATATAGTGCTATGTTTTGTGTTTGCTCTGTAATGCGCGGTTTGGAATCACGTATTCAGTGCTATGACAGTGAATGATAGTGATAGTGAATGATAGTGATTGTGATCGTACGTATGCCGTATTAATACCTGTCATTATCACTGACATGCACGGCGACCGGTAAGTGTTGTATCTTGCTTGCTTTATTTATTCAAAACGTCAAACTGACACTTGTTATTGATACTATCTGGAACAGAGACAAGCTCGTGACGTTGTGCACATAGCCCTCGTGTTTACTCGATTATAATATCTACTTATGCATAACACTGATCTACAAATTAGTTATTAATACTCAATTGAAGTTTGGAAAGATAAAATTAGAAATCATGCTACAAATTTGCGTGTCCCGAACTTGGAGGAAAATACTTAACATTAAAACTAAAGAAAAAAATAGTAATTAAAATAGTTGCTACATTAGTTAATAAATCGAAGTGCAGAGGTCGCACGCGACGCTCGCACGCCACATTACGTAAAGGACGATCGTAGATATGTAAGAGGTAAACACAAAAATTTATAAAATAGATATCGATTACAAACTTGTTAGTTCTGCTATTTATTTACACGATCAAGTTTATTCAATGATGCTGTTATTTTCTAACTTTATGCTTAATTTCTGCGTTAATCGAAATAATAGAAAACAAACAGATTATTATTTAAAAGTGTGTTATTTAATTATATTATGTTTAGCGTAAAATATATCGAATAATTAACATTACTGTCAATAACAATCCGCTGCTTTCTCAAAGCTGTTTACCGACCAAACGAACTTCAGCTTAGCACGCACGAGTGGATTAGCGGCTTGTGTTAATATTAGCCTATCAATGTATACCAACTAAAACAGATCATGATTGAGAACTCACAAGCGGGCGCCATGGGCGAAGCATAAACAAACGACATTAGTCACGTTGCATGTAGTGCATACTAATGCATTGGTAAAGGGCATTTTAGTAGCCCTGTACATCTGTGACCAGAATACTGGGACAACCATGCATCAGTATGGATGACTAGTTCTACATATTTGTTTCATCAACACTCTGGGTACTGACTTTGAAAACATGGCTTAAATATCGTTTAAAAAACTAAAAAATTGATTACAAATAATTATATCCACGACGCCAACCTAAAATAGTGTCGGAACATTAAAGTTTAAATCTACACTACCGTCCAAAAGTTTGGAAGCAACAAGATAAAATCAAATAAAATAAAAGTAAGCCATCTTAAATTTTTTTTATTGATATAGAATTAAAAAAATAGACAAAACACACTTCTACAACAATGAAATTAAATAAGTAATATAAAAATTAAATTAAATTTTAGCTTCATCAAAGTGTCCACCCCTCTCTTTAATTACCTTCTCGCATATTCTAGGCATCCTACTAATTAATTTCATAAAATACTGTTCATCTAACTTCTTCCATTCGCTCTGTAATAGTTGCCACAAATGTTCTGAGCTCGTAGGAGATTGATTTTTCACCCTTCTATCTAGTTCATCCCAAACAAGTTCAATGGGAGAAAGGTCAGGTGATTGAGACAGCCACTGCATGATTTTCACATCTTTTTTCTTCCTTAAAAAGTTCTGGCTCAGGCACAGTTTGGACGAATGTTTCGGGTCGTTATCTTGCTGAAAAACGAACCCAGGACCAATAAGATTCAGTCCACTGGGTATGGCGAAATCCTTAAGAATTTTCAAATAGCGTTCCTTGTTTAGTTTTTCGGTTGTCCTCACAAGACTTCCGAGTTTATTGTTGCCGAAACACCCCCAAACCATGACATTACCACCACCATGTTTGATAGTAGGCACTGTACAAGCTTCTGAAGCTCTCTCTCCTTTAGATCGGCGCACAAAAACACGTCTATTGGACCCGAAAATCTGAAACTTCGATTCGTCACTCCAAAGAACTTTTTTCCATTGGTTTATTGTCCAGTTTTTATGTTCCTTTGCCCATTCTAGTCTGTTTTTCTTATGCCGAATTGTTAGTTTTGGTTTTTTAACTGCAACACAACCTCTTAGCCCCGCAGACAGTAGTCGTCTTTTAACTGTTGTTATTGACACGGGTGTTCCTCGCGTTTCATTCAGAGATGCGGTAATTTGTGGTGCAGTTAAGCGACGATTCCGTTTAGAAAGAACTCTGATGAAGTTATCCTCTTGACTTGTAGTGGATTTGGGCCTACCAGATCTTTTTCTATCTTCATTTTTGCCAGTTTCTTTTTTTCTAGCGAGGGTGTAGTGGACACCTTTACAAGAAATTCCGAGTTTTTTTGCGATTTGGCGTTCACTGTAGCCTTCCTCACGCAGAGTACAAATAGCGCTTCGCTGTTCAAGTGTGATTTGCTTGCGTTTTGCCATTTTCAATAAAAAAAGACGGTCAAGGAACTAGTCGAAATCTTTTGAATACAGACGATGTTAATATCACAACCTTCGCGTTCTAATGCTCAAGTGTGACTAAATAAGGTCCAAAAAAGATAAAACTACAGAATATTTTCAATAAAACCGCATCAATGCATGAAAGAAAGTCCCCGGCGGATGAAGTAATAAAACACGTGTTTCGTCAAAATCCAGGAATTTGTTAAAACTCAAGGAATATGCACTAGTAATCCTTTTGTTTTGTGTTAAAAAATCACAAAAGGTCATAAAACTTTATTTTATTGCTATTATTTACCGCAGGGTGTCGGCAATCTTTTGTTTTGTTTGAAATCAGGTGTGCTTCCAAACTTTTGGACGGTAGTGTATATATGACTAATAGACGTACCTACAAGCTCGAATCATATTTCCCTCCATAAATAAATCAATGCTACCAATCTAGCCGTCGAAATCATCGCTTTACAAATTGCCATCTGACCTGTCTGTCATCGTTCCCACACAAAAGCATACAAACAAATTGTAAAACCAATTTTGGCATTTCATTCATCAAAACTTGGTTTGTACTTGGCTACTGAGTAATTATGTAACAACATCAACATCATTCTACCACTGCTCAATCTCATTTTGATGGGGCCGTGAATCAATGGCATTCTGATAGATTGACGACTGCACTCAGTATGAACATCGAACGTTGTAATAATAAACGTCGTACCTAATAAGGGAATCGAACGCTCAAATCTCTGTAAGAAACGAATTCGTGCAAATATTTCGTCCTGCCGTTTCCACGTCACAGAAAATTTACGGATACTACCGCGTAGCTACTTCGTTATTTGTCCGGACATAAATTGCCAACAAACGGACGCCGGCACCGATACCACTTAAACGAAATTGTAATAAATGGAGCCGCTATAATTTTATTACTCATTAATATTAAGACGCATTAAAAAGATATTTTACAATCTGAATCCGCTACTCCACACACTTACATAATGTACCCGTGATCAGTAACAAATGTTTATGAATCAGACTTAAAGAATTCAATATACATTTTGAACTTTACGATGATCGATTTATTTTTAATAATTTAGATTAATTGCCGAGTATCAGTTAAATAGTAAACAGACGGGCAAATTAAAATTAATGGAGCCTGCAAAATGTTTTGATCCATGTCTATTTTATATTTGTAATTCAGATGACAGGACGACGACACTGATGAGGTTAGACTTGATAAGTTAAAATATTTGTAATTAATTTGTCAAATCCAGTCTCACTATTTATACACAATAAACCTACGACACGGCCGGTTTATATATAGAAAACTATAAGAAAAAAGGAAATGTTAAAAAGTAGATGACTTTATATATGCGAAAGTCTATTGACATATACTATATATAGTTTACTAATTAATTTTCATTGACATTGTTACCTATCTAGTTATATATCGAACCATGAGAATTACTGAGAACTTCTTCATTAGTTAAAATAATAGTATGATAATCATTTCATAAAATAAAACCCTATGTATAGTAAACACAAACTGAAGTAAACTGGTACTGGCTGTTGAAGGACGCACCTTCGAATATAACGTGCTACAAACGTCGTAAGTTTGTGTAGCACGTGGCCTCCAAGTCTGGAATTAATTCATTTATAACGGCTCGGCAATCGATTAGGGCGCAGGCAGACAAAGCTCGTCTCACACTGTGAAATATAAATAATTCAACGGCGACAGCGAGAGTGGCAACTTCCGACGCCGTCCCAGGCGATCCCTTGAAAAAGTTGATAATGTGATTTAGAGAGGCACGCCAAGTGGAGCGGCTCCTGCCGAGTAATTTGTGTGGCGACGCGCCCTTGCATACTGAGCACCCTGCAGCACCCTCTCCGCCACAGCTCGCACACGCCGCTATGCATTTACAAGGACCCGTGGCACGTGCACCGCGCTCTGTAATTATTGTCCAAGCACTAACTAACCTTTCTCTTTGTTCCAGGTGTGTGTAAACATCAACGTAGTGCAAATAAAATGTGCGACAAGTGCAAACGGGTGCAGACCTCTGTGTATGTAGCTAGTGTATCGCGAGGGACGTGTGAGGGTAACAGTTAAGAGCATGTGCGCGTGAGTTTGACCACGACGTCGGACTATTCGGAGTGGGAGGCGCTGGCGACCGCGGCCAGCGATGGTATGGACGTTGTATTCGGGAATGAGAGCGACTGGGGGTGGAACGCGACCGACGAGGGGGAGAGTACGAACCTATACAACTACTGGGCATGGAGCATCGTGGACGGCTCGCTGATGCTGCTCATCGTGAGTGGGAACACACTGACGATACTGGCGGTGACGCTGAGCCGGCGGCTGTCGTCGCTCGTCTCCAACCAGTTCGTGCTCAACCTAGCCATATCCGACCTGATGGTGGGCCTCACGCTGCCTTACCATTTGGTTTTCTACTTGAACGATGACTTTGGCACAATCAAATGGTCGTGTTTGATGCGCTTTATTCTCATAATCCTAGCGTGTCTCGCGTCCATTTACAACATTATAGCGATAGCAGTTGACAGGTCAGTGTAAAGACACATTTTTATTCTATTATTTAAAATATATTTATTTTATTAGTACTGGCACACAGGTCGCGCCGACTGTTTATTAATAACAAAAATATGACGTACGATATTATGATCGGATCGACGCCAGCAGCAGGATTACTCAAATAGTGCTCTTATAAATTACAGGTACATAGCGATAGTGCACCCGCTCCACTACAGCCGGTACATGACCAAGCTGGTGACGCGGTTGCTGATGAGCGCCACGTGGTCGGTCGCCGTCTGCATCAGCTGCATCCCCGTGTTCTGGAACGACTGGCACGAAGGAGTAGCTTGCGAGATGAATATGGTCTGTACCTATTTTTAGCTATCAAGTCAAGATATTTTACGAATTGCAGCTATTTTACTATTAGAATATTTTATTACTATCTATGCATGACATACACAATCTATGGAGGAAATTCTTTAGATATGGGATTAACGTCTAACCGTTTAAAAATTTTAGAATTCCCTAACGTAATAATAGCATCGCTTTTAATCGACTACGGCCACAAAACTTAACGTACAAGAGATACAAAATGACAACTATCTAAACGGATTAAAATACTCGTGTCAACACACGCCGTAATATTAAACAGTTCTTATCTGAAATTCACAGTAAAACGAAATAGGATTCTTAAGGCACGTTCTGCAAACATGTTTTGTAATACACAGATAAATGCTTTTATAGGAGGAATATATCTAACTTGTCTTGGTACTTAACGCGAACAAGAAATATATTTATGTAATTATTACGACTTTTATAACATTATTTCTATTTGTATAAAGAATAGCGTAAATAATATATTAACTAATTATATCAATACATTCTAATAGTTAAGTCAGATAAACAGATAAAACCGTGTGTGTAGGATAGATACTAATGAGTAAGAAAACGTAAATAGAAATGTTGTCAATTGTTGAAGATAGAAATGTTTTCAATAGAAATTTTGTCAATTCCAGGTGGTGCCCAAGAAATACACGACGAGTATACTGGCGCCGATGTTCTCCTTGATCTGGATGGTGATGTTCATCTTGTACTGGCGGATATGGCGCGAGGCCACCTGCCATGCTCGCCGCATGAGGGCCAACACCTGCTGCCCAACAGGGGCCAACGATTGGAAGAGCATACAGGTAGGCATTCCAACGTCAGGGCCAATGTAATTGGGCTACTTCCACCCACTAAACTCTGTATCTCAACGTAAAGTAATCGAGCAAATACGTGGTAAAGAGTTCTACATAAAGATTTACGTTTTGGTCACAGCAGCTAAATAAATGAGAAATCGGTGAGAATTGTAATTGAGTTAAATATGTCTGCAGGTGGTGCTTCTAGTCCTCGGGTCCTTCTCAATATGTTGGATGCCGTTCGTGGTGGTGGCGTGTGCACAGACGTTCCCCATCATGCCGCTGCACAATCACATAGCGTACCGTGTCACCTCGTCGCTGGCTATGTCTAACTCCGGCATAAATCCACTCATCTACGCGTGGAAAAATGCAGGCTTTCGTGCCGCTTTTGCAAAGTTACTACGGTGCAAGAGACCGGACACGTCCGAGTATAGAGGATCCCCGGCCCCGGAAAGGAAGCGAGGCTCGGTGGCACTGAGAGAAGGCTCTATCACGCGGTCGAGCGCGCCGAGTGCGCTGTCCAGCCTGGGTGGGCGGCCGGCGCGGCTGCTGTACATGGAGCACGATGCTGACACAGCGCGCTGCCGCATCATCGAGAACGCGGGCTACGTGGAGGCGGAGCGCGGCGACACCAACCCGTCGTACGCGCCCGACGGGCCCACGCCAGTGCACCGGCCCGCCACTCGCGCAGACTTAGTGTAGTGTACAAACGATCATTAGACGTTTTGTGGGAAACGTGAAACGCTTCTAGTTATTTAAAGTTGTTAGTGACTGTAGGTACCCCCTTCGCATTTAGGTACCTGTTCGAATCTACGCTCAAGTTTTTAAAAGCTTTATTGTTGAATTTTTATTGAGAGATTATAATGAGTTCTCTGCCATAATGACGTTTTAAAAGAGGTTCTCTATCAAACAAAGATGTTTAAATTATATAAATCTAAATTAAAAGATGTTCTATGTATTATTAAAGTATGTAAATAAATGCACATTATTTATTTATTTAAATCCTGGTATACTTTCAGCGTTCAGTTTTATTGTGACTAAGAACGCCATCTATGGAAAAGCAATGGAATCAAATGTGAACCAAACTGAAACGTTGAGGAGGTAAACGTCTACTAGATGGCACTAAATTAAATAATGTTTGATGTTAAGCCGAATTTTTGAGTTCCAAAACAATGATCCCGATTTAAAAATAATCAAAAATAAGATAAATTGTATAAGCAGAGAAAAGTTTTGCTAGTCAAAAATAACATAATAACTGATAACATATATGTAGACGGCACGTACTATTTATTCCTACTGTGATTTGTACAATCAAAGGAGGTCAGTTACGTCGGTTGATAATATTAACGAACAACTTTATATATCGACTAAAGTAGGTACAAACAAGTATTTTATATGTTTCGCGAATTCAAATAATTAACGCACCATTAAAAAAACTATGGAACGAACCTGTTAGCTAAGTTGATTTTTAAAAAAAGCTCTGTTTATTGTACCTTTAGAGGTAGAAATTCAGGTGTACGTATAAAAATATCTATGAAATACCAACTTATGACGTCACCGTATTTTTGCGTCAAGTATCATACTTAAGAAAGATACAGAAAATGCCTGTCAATTTCTTCACTTTTTTACACACAATTATAGTAATATTCAACTACAAGCAATTTCTATAAAACATATTTAATTTTATGCTTTTCGAAGGGAGCTCTCCAAATCATAATGTGTATGATACATACTATCATACATATTAATACAATACAATATCTAAAAAAATCTTCTCACTAATACTTCTCATCCTACTCTAATATTATAAATGTATTGTGATAGTTTGCGAGAATGTATGGATTTATGTTTCTTATTCTTTCACGCAAAAACGGCTGGAGCTATTTGGTTGACATTTGTTTGGTTTAACACATAGGCTGCTTAATTATCAACATACCACGAGGACGAATCCTCGGGTGGAAGCTAGTTGATACATATTATGAATAACGTTAAAATAACAACAATAACACTCACCTCGACTCCTGTCACGCCGAGGGCTGTCACCAAGTTGGGTGTCATCCTAAACGGCACTTTCTCCGGCACCCGCAGCGTCTTGCCCTTCTCGAAGCACACGTTATAGTCTATATGCACCACCTCACCAGAGGTAAGGTCCACTAAAACATTGTCCAAGTGCCTGTCACCAAGTCCGATTATATAGCCTATCGTACTCATCACGGCCACTGAGTAACTGTACCGACGCGTCATCTGCCACCACTGCTCAGGGCTCACACTACTGCACCATAACTCTCTCCACAGTAAATCACGCGGAGTCTCCGTCGACAACTCGTGCAGAACTTGCTTCAATATCGACACGGGCCATTCCTTTCTATTTTCTGTTGATACGCCAGCTTCTTTCAATAGAGGATTAAGCTTGTTGTAGAACAGCTCCGATGGTCGCAACACATTCACAGTCTTGTTAGTTTTAGCAGATAAAATAGCAGCCTCTCGGTTTTGCCAACGTTTGTACAACGCAAACAGGGGTGTCACATTATCTACCCAACTAATCAACCCCGATCGAGGACCCAGAGGTATTACTGAGTAATGGCGCGCTCTATAAGTTTGGTTGTCGTTGTTTTCAGAATCCCTGGCCATCATTGTGTTAGTTATAGATAGCAATTGCATGATTCTTTCATCTAGATGCAAGTCTTCCAATCCCTTAAACAAGTACGTATAAGCTTTTCCATCTGACCCATAAAAGACAAGTTTTTTTGGCCGCGTCTTTGTAGGCAATATAGCCACATTATTTTCCACTGCTTTTATCGTAACTCTTACGGCACGCTGATTTGTATGTACTCCTGGCATAGTGATTACAGTATTTTTAAGTTCTGCTAAAACAGGACTTATATCGGACATTTTCAAAATGTATGACGTTCTTTTGTTAACTTTTTGCTGCAATTTTATTTGCAGTTGTTTCAACGGTGCCCATGAGTCCTGCGGTTTATCTGGATTCGCGGGGTTTTTCAGTTTTTCTATAACATCCGCAATAAGGGACTGGAATTTATTTTGGAATGATACTTCGTGTGGTGTCTCGGGGTTTGCTGAAGTCACTTGATACAATTGCTCCAGCACACAAACAATTGGTTCAAATATAATGCGGTGTTTCTCTTTGATAAGTTTGTCTTTATCTTCTTCAGACAAATGAGAATTATTTTTTACTTTGGCTACTTCCATTTCTAACTGTGAAAGCCTCTTTGTAAATTCAGAGTGATGTTGAACTAAAGTACCCAGACATAGTTCGTCCCAAAGTAAATTAATTCTTTGTAACTCCTTCACCAATAACTTAACTTGCAAAATAGTTTTAGGCGCTTGTTTTGCAAGTGTTTCTACCATATCCAAGAAACAAGAGTTAAGTTCGTTATTGATTACCTTATCACTAAGAGAGTCTTCTACATCAAGATTATCTTCACTACTGCATGTGGCATTACTTAAATAAGATCTAGCAACATTTAATTCTAGTAAATCTTTTTGCTCATTTTCCACTGCACCAACAACTGCTGGGAAAGTAATTAAATGCGGGGTATCTTCGGCCAATCTACACAATAAGTCAGATACACACTTTCTCACGTAAGTTTCCGGGTGGTTGAGACGGGAAAATAATTGGGGAATAATGACTTTCCAGGGTTGAGTGGGAGTGTTAGCTAATCCAGATTCCAGAACTGTTTGCAATTCCATAGCATGTTTTACTATCAAACGTAAAAGTCTCAATGTGGCATTAACTACCGCATTTTCTCCACTATGGTTTATATAGTCTGATGCACAAATAAGCTGTAGAAATTTAAAGTAAGCGTCAGCCGAAAGTTCGAAATAAGAGAATACTCGCTTTTGCGCTTGGCGCCAAATGTCCACTAATAATGCAAGGTGTTCAGGGAAAGCGTTACTCAAAGACGGTACAGTTCGAAGCTGACTCTCTATCATTTCAGAAGTATTGATTTCGTTCCAATCAATGTCTTCATCATCGCAAGTAGCTTTCGTTTTAGACAATATTTCACAAACAGCTTCAAAGTCTTGAGGTGCACATCCAATCATAACGCTCTCTATCTGTAATTTATCATTTTCTGTCAACTGTTCTCGAGTTTTAGAACTGAACTCAACCATTTTTCGACCCCATCTGAAGCACCAAGCAGCAAAATTAGCCCAAGCTTTAGCCAGTCCGGGGCATTGATTCACACCAAATTGTAGTAATTTACCCACGGCTGAATCCGACACAGGAATAACATTCTCTGATATGTTGTTATCCACGAGTCCAATTTCTGGTAGAACAGACACTAGTTTTAGCAAGGGTGAGTCGACTTCTAAAATGTTCTCAGTCTCGCTTTGGACCCATTTCGACAGCGTAAGTAGTAGTCTAGTCCCTTTTTCTCTCAATTCATAACTTTGTTCGCCCATTGCTAATCTCTGAGAAAATCCATACGCAATGCTGGCACAAAGATTGACAGCGCGTATTTTAGTTTCTTCTTTTACATAAGTCAATTTACAAAGCTCCGCCAACGCAGTAGCATTGTTAAGAGTCCAAATCTCAAGGTCGTAAGTGTTAGTAGATAAAAGAAGTGCTTCGCTTAAGTCATCCAAGTTATTAACTTGTCCTAAACACATTTGGAAAGCTGAATTTTGTTTAAAATGATTTAAGAGTTCTCTCTTGGCCATTTCTAAGTTTGCATTTTTTCTTGCACTTTTAATTACATCTAACCGAAGGCATTCTGCATAAAATACATTTTCTTCTGTCATATTTAGTTTAGTAAAATATTGGTTCCACCATAATATTCTGCTTAAGTTTTTAAATTCAGTACCATACTTAAACTCCTTTACTGTTGAGGGTTTAAAGGGATTAGTAACAAGCTTTCCACTCTTTACAATGTTGCTTAGCCCATGATTAGCTAATTGCAATACTGCTACCTCTTTTAAGAAATGTACGGCATTTGTTCTGGAGAATTCTTCTGCTTGTGATTTGAGTAACAAATCACATTGTTTTAACAAATCCTCATATTTATCATTGTAATCACTATTGTACATCTTAACTGCAGTGCACATGAGAGTCAATTCAATTTTATTCAAGAGACCTTGGTACGAGCACGAGTTCTTGGGAATCTCATTAGCTTCACTATCAAGTATATCCCAGTTAATGAGTTCTTCAGGAATTTCTGTAGCATCTTCGAAAAACTTTAACGTCGATAAATAGCTCCACTGTGAACTATTTGCGTTAAACTGATCTTTTTCTACCCATGCCTGCATATCTTCCCAGCTTTGTATGTGTTTATAACTTTCCATGATTTGCTCCTCAATAAACTTGTTACTCCTTGAATCTACTTGTGACGCTGTTTCCTTTTCCCCCGATTCTTCCTGGGGACTTAAGCTGTTTATTTTCTTGTAGTAATCTATGGCTGACTCGTGTTTAGAATTTGCCTGTTCAGCAGCTCCTTTTAGCCAGAGCAATTTTTTATCAAAGTTTTGTTTGATCCACACGTATAAACCAAGTAACACTTCTGGCTCTTCAATTTTGATAAGGGCCCTGGCAATGCTTATCGTAATCGCTTCAACGTCAATATTGGTGTTAGAACTAGCAGCCGTTTGCAGTATGAGGGAAGCGTGATAGATGGCAGCACCAAAATGTCCTGCATATAAACTGACAGCAAGTGCAGCGGGACGAACTCTGGTCAACCACTCTCGACATGTAGGCCAGTTTGTGTGGAAAAAAGTCTTTACAGGCTTATTAACAGCTGGCAGTACTATAGCAGTGCCCTCAGCAGCATTGTAAATGTATTTCTCTAAGAACATCATGAACTCTGTTATCCAACGTGTCCTTGTTTGTTCTAATGTCACAACTTCCACAATATTTTGTTGATCATCGCCTATATATTTAGTATCATGAGAAGATATCTCTCTGGCTATCCCTTTTAATGCTCCCTCTATTTTCATGAATGTCTCATGTGGTTTGCCAAGAATAGTTCGTAACTTTAAAGACACACAAGTTTGAGCAAGTTCTGAAAGTGCCCAACCCACGCAAATGGATGAAAATCTCATAGCACATTGCCGAAAGAATAATATATTATTTTCATCAAGGTCAGGAGTTTGTAAAGGCCATGAAGTTAAAAATGCATCTACTAAAGCTTTCTTATCTTCCAATGCAGATTTAAGAAGACAGTTCATTATTAATTTAAAATGCTGGTTTGAAAGTACAGCAAAAGATCCATGCATGAGATACTCTTTAAAGGAATTAGCCTTGGTGTCACTGTTGAGGACATTCAAACTCATCTTTCTTGCAGTGAACACTTTAACGAGCTGTTTGTCAAGCTCCAACTGTACAATGTCCCAAGGCAAATCAAATAGTACATCTTTGCAAATATTGGACAATGTTTTATTTTGATTGTCAATGTGTAATATGCAAAGTACTGCTATTGTTTTCAATACCATAACATTCCAAGTGAGGGTTTTGTTTTTAAGTAAATGTTGTGAATTTTTCATTACAAGTAAAACTATGTCCTCATCAAAATTATATGCCAATGATAACATGTTAGTTGTTAGAACAAAAAACCCTTTAGACATGCTGACTATGGGTAAATATTTGTCTAACTGCCAAAATATATCAGATACCCAATTAAGAACCAATATTAAAGTTTCTTTTGTGGCTTCTTCATGCAAAACCATGCTTATAGTATTGAGAATAACGGCTAAATGTCCAGATGTTGGGCTTGAGCTGGATACATCACCAAGGCTCAGATTAGATAGTCCAAAGATATCATTAGCTCTTTGCTGGGTATTTGTAACCAAATCACTAGAAGCAATGAAATGATTATTTTTTTTACAGTGGGAATAAAGTAAGTATAGCACAGAGTAATGGAGAGCTGGCTTCTCCTTAATTAGTTTTTCAGCATGAGGGCACATTTTTATAGCTAATAGTTCCAGAATGCTTGGCTGTAAAGCCCACATACCAATTATCGAATTACTTGCATTTGCCAGTTCTGATAAACATTGTAGATAAAATATTACATTTTTCTCTGCATTATCTTTATCTACTTCTTCTTGATAATCTGGTTTTATGATTTGTATGTCAGGTATTATAACTGAATAAGAATTTTGAATATCTGTCAAAACATACTTGTATGTTTCTTGCAAAAGAGGAATGTTTTTTAAATTTAGCAAATTACTGTATACGGATGTAACACTATTTAAAATAGGAGAACTGTCTGAGTAACGCAGTGGACGCAAAAGTGATTCAGGCCCAATTGTTTGTGAAATAAACTCAATTGGCAAGTTGGATGCTATTTCCTTGATAACAGTGGATACTAGGTCAATAATGCTGAGAATAACACTTTCCTCCCCTTGCAAAAAGTTGGTCATCTCATTAGATATCAAAGCAAATAAGGCTGGAGAACAAGATGAAGACTTTGTTTGCAAATATTTCAAGAGTAAAGAAATGCACTCATTACCTGCCAGTATAAGGTCTGCTTCAGCAACATTCTTCATAGTCTTTGTTAAAACTTGCAAAATTTTTGTAAATGCTTCACTAAGAAATGACCAAGAAACAACCTGAGATACTGTAGGGCTCAACAGAGTCCCTAAACTCTTAACAACAGTATTGAAAACATTCAAGAAAGATGTTATCTTAAGCATGCAGTCTTCTGGTGTAGTGGTATCATTTTGCTTTTCAGGGCGATTTGGTTCCATTTCCGTAGAATATGCTACCATGTCTTCCACAAACTGATTTAAGAGGTTGACAGAGAATCCTACATCGGCCTGCCAGTGTCGACTCAGCTTCAGTAATGACTGTAGGGCAAAATCTTTAATTTTTTTGGGTTGAGCATTATCCACATGCCATCCAACCAGTATATCCACGGTATCCACAAAATGGTTTGCAAAATGTTCTGGGTATGAATTAGACAATATAGTCATTGCGTTGATAGCACACATAAACACATCGGCTGAGTCAGTCCCTTCAATGATAGTCTGGAGCCTGTCTAAAGTGACTTCAGCAAATTCAGCTAAGTGAGGAGTTTGATAATCAAGTTGAAAGGTTTCTGTAAATGAGAGTGTTAGATAATGTTTGATTGAAGTATTATGGACTGCATAACTAGCAGCCACCCAATCTAAATGTTTTCTGAAATCAGGACCCATGACATAACCAATTCTACCAAGAACTACTGATGCACCTTCCTTTGTTTCAGGTCCAGGAGCATCATAGAGTACATCCAAAAGTGATTCAACTAGTATGTCGTATGAACGTCGTATGTATCGAGAATTTTCAGGCAGCATGACAGCGTCCTGGAGTTTACTGCATATTACAAGTGATTTTTCCATGTCCACTTCAGCGCACAGGCGACGCAACAACTTGGAGATGCGCGGGTCCTCGGGTAGATTAACCACCAATTCTGGACGTTCATAGAATTTGCTGCTACTATTTCCCTGGGCCCAGGCGTCGTTCGAAGGCTGGTTTAGTGTTTCCTGATAATTGTATGCGTTGTCTAGGGGCTCACGGTCTCCACGGGGCGGGAATCCGCCTCGACCTCGTCCTCCGCGTCCACCGCCTCGAGACGGTCTAAACTCGGTGACACGACCTCGGGACCGATACCTGCCGTCTCTGGACGGTCCCCCAAATGACGAGGATGCATCGTACGCACCAACATAACCTCTGACCTTATCGTCCGTGTTTTCTTGTACGATTTCATCCCTATCTGGAGCGTCGACAAACTCCGATCCCTTGGGGGCTTTTACTTTACTGTTTGCAGTGGTGGATATCATCACTAGAAATTTTATCAAACACGTAATTATCACCACACATGGCCGTAAAATTAAAGCAAAATACGGACAAAACAGACACTCTTCGCCAACAGTCACTATATATCATAGACAAGTTATAGCTGACCTGTCAGGCTGTCACGTCTGTCAATAAGATTTGTCAAGTAGGTACCTAAATGAAGTAGGTACTAAACAAGACGTTTTTGAACGAAAATGTAAACAGTAAGGGTAAGGTACTGTTTTTTATGTATAGCACACATTTACACGTAGACAGAGAATAGAGGCATTTACACTCACAAAAATTGAATGGTCGTCAAAATTAAAAATCATAACTCTATTTTTAAAAGGATATGTCAAATTTGTTTGCGCTCTATTTTGTTATAAATGTTGAACGTTCAACACTAGTCATAGACTACATGAATGTTAGCAGAGTAAATGTCAATTGTCTAAATACATATGTAGTTAAAACATAACCTCGCTGCTCACTTGAAAACATGTTTGATTTGCGTTTATTTTGAAAAACGAGTGTAAATTGATAAGGGACCTCTTGATTCATTTGATATCTACCATGACGAACAATACTGCTACTAAGGTTAAAAAAATAAAGACTTCAAAACGTACTCAAGATTTTAAAGGTATGTACCTATATTTGTTTCAATGTATGGTATTAAAATGAATATTCTCTTGAAATTTTGAATTTTTCGTCTCTAATATTCTGTTCTTTATTCCAGCTGTACAGCTTAAACTCACTAAAAGTTCGGTAGCACCACACACCGTATATCTTAAAGAACATGTAGTCAGAGAACACACTGCAGACAAACCACAAGGTCGCACTTTGCTTATAGTCAATGTGCCCCCTTATGCAGATGATAAAGGTATTAGTAATGCATTCAGCGAAGCTGGCACTGTACAATCAGTTCAACTATGTTTGAAACCTTCCACTGCTGAAGTTAAATCAATTAAAAAATTCTTACCCGATCCAAGCATAACCACATTTAAAGCAGCCTACATAGTATTTAAGAAAGTTGCAGAGCTAGATAAAGCACTAAAACTAACTGAATTACAACCAATGAATTCAGAAGATCACCAAATTAAAACAGGAATCAAAAAGTGGATTGAAGAATACAACAACAGCATTGTTTTACCAAAACTGCTAAAAGAAAATGTGGAAACATTTATGAAAGAATTTGATGCAAATACACAAAAAGAAAATAAGAAAGAGAAGGAATTAGAACAAGAGGATGATGAGGGATGGGTGACAGTTACTAAGAGGGGTAAAGTTCAAAGCTTTGCAAGATCGGAAAAAGTAGAGAATAAAATTATGCAGAAAGAAGAGAAGAATAAAAAACGAAAGGAGCTGAAGAACTTCTATACTTTCCAGATAAGAGAATCGAAGATGAAGCACATTGTGTCACTTAGGCAAAAGTTTGAGGAAGACAAGAAGAAAATAGCACAGATCAAACAGAGTAGACGGTTTAAACCATTTTAGTATTAATAAAACTATATTTGTAATTATCACAGATTTTTATTTATACTATTTACATCATGTGTAAACAATCATTTAGAATATTTATATAACTGTATAATTTATTAATCTTTCAGTTATCTCTTAAGACTTTCAGTTTACAACAAGCATGATGGTAATTAGTGGATCTGACCATGCAACAAAATCTCAGTCTTAAACCAGCAGAATTATTTAACTACCGACTGGTGAAAACTTGTCACATTGTTTGCTGGTGAGTTTTGATGATAATCCGCAATAGTCTGTTCTCTGGCAGTGTGTCTAATGCTGCAAGAAGGTTGCTGATGTTGCCATATACACAGCCATTAGCGAGCGCTACTTGCACTGCCTGCCCTATCCTGTCCAAACAATCCTGTAACAAAAGGTTGTAATTTATTAAAGAATGAAATCTAGCCACTGAGATGTTGCTAAAGATAAACAGGCTATCAATCTAGATCAGTTTTATAAATACAAGACAGTAGTGAGTTGAGTGTAGAGTAAATTAAAAGAAATTAAATACTAACTTGTAACTTATGGTCAGATTGTAACTTGCCACCTCTCTTTAACACATTGTGAGCATATGCCTGCACGACCGGCGCGAGTGCAGCTAAATGCTGAGCATTCACAGCTGTGGGAGGCCCATGAGTGCGTCTTCCAGCTCGCAAACTGTGCAGTACACCCAGATGTAGCTTTATATAAAACTCACTCTCAGTTAGAGGCTTACTTGTCACTGTTTTTATCAAGGATCTGTCACTTTCACCCTCCAATTTAATTTTCTTAAATGGTACAGGAACATCCACCATTTCTGTGTCTGGAAAAAATATTTATTGACATAAGTTATTAGGTTACCTAATATTTATACTCTACAGACAGAAACATAAATAAACTGTTTACCATCATCAATATAAAGGGGAGCCAGGGCACACCAATGTATGAGGCCAGCTAATGGAGTGACTGCAGCCATAGGTATGGATCCACTGGGAAGTGCTGCTGGATTCAACTGTGCAGACATGCATAGAGTGGGGTTTGAATATACCTGCAATAAACATATTATATTTGATTAAACAAATTGTAAAAATTCTGAACCTTATTCTAACTTTACTTGAATATTTAAATTGTCAATATTGAGTATTTTTATTAGCATGTCTTATTTATACTACTAACCCAGGCAGTTATGACTTCTAACAGGTTCTTAGGGGGCAACTTATTATCATTAGTTCCTTGAGCATCATGCATGTATAGTTCAGTTACAGCTGTAATGAAGTTAGACACAAACTGTGGAGCAGTATTCGCTAGTGATTTCAGAGCCAACTGATTTGAAGTGTTGAGATAAAAATGGTCTCTAATGACATTCTCAACCAGTTCCAGGGACTGGGATGATGAACAGCCCATTTGTTGAAGCCAAACTCCAACTGCAAGTAATACCTGCAAAAGCAACAATTTATATCAGCAACCTGGTGAAAGTTTGAAAATTTAGTAAGGTAATAATTCACTGGTTTACTATTGAAAACGCAACTATACTAAAACTTACTGGTGTACTGGATGCTGACACAGCCATACTGGCAAGTATACTAAGAATTTTCAATCTCCTTTGACTTTCCATCCCTCCAAACAATGATAAGAAAACAGTATTCTTTGTGGTTTCATTAGTGCAAGCTGACAAGTAGTCACATATTATGTCTATGAGTTGCAAGTCCTGTAATGGAGTCAATCCCCCACCTCTGCGCACACTGCGCCTGTCAGACTCACAGAACACAAACTCAGATATTATATCCATTGCTATGTCTAGCTGTTTATTTGAAGGAGCAGCCCGACCAACCAGAAGTTGTTCTGAAAAAATATTTATTTATGTTACTTTCATACTTTCCTAAAACCAGAAATATAAACTAGTTAAGTAAACCATTTACTTAACAAATCTAGGCACGTAGTAATATGGTAAGTAGTAACATAATCAATATACTAACCAATTCTATTAAGGGCTTCCTTAGCGCAAGCAGGAAATTCATATTTTCTTAAAGAATGTTTCAAATCTGATACAGACATATTGTAAACTATGTTTATTTATATAAAAAAAAAAAAAACAAAAACGTAGGTTTAGCTGCTATTATCAAGCATGTTACACAGGATTTTTAGCGATCAGTTTGGAGTGATATTACTTAGTTGTATAAGGTCTGACCATTGAGATAGAATATATTTCCTATGTCAATGGGTCTGACTGAATAACACTTGGAACCGAGTGCTTAGAGTGCTCAGTAACCGAGACAACAGTTTTAATCGTGTCACCAACTTTAATTTGAATTCACGATCCAGAATACGATATTTATAGACTTTAAAATTAATTTCAAATACTACAATAATTATCTATAGGTATTATTTGTTATACAATAACCTGAAAAACGCGACAAACACTATGCTAAACATCAACCATAGATGTTTGACATTTTCATGTATAAAAAAGTACTCTGTGTTTGACATTTAAAGAAATGTTGACATCGTAAGTAAATCTCTAATATAGTCTATGGCTTGCATCAAATCGGAAACAAAAGATAAAAATAATAATGAAAATGTGCAAGGCAGCTTGTGACGAGCTGTTGGCCAGTAGCGACCCCATATGGTGGTATCTTGTTCTTCTTCTCCAGTTAGTCCTCGTGACTAGCTGGAGTGTACACACTGATTGCTCTGATAGCAGTGGGATGCCTCTCCTTCCCCAAGCAACTCAACGTATGGCCTCCGTGTCCCTACATGCAAGCGGCCGTTTCCGGAAGTCCATTCATTGAGTTTGTCAGTAACCCCCCGCCTGTTTATCCGTATGTATCAATATTGGTCAGGGGTAGGGCTACAATATTTCCATACTTATCATTTACCAGTTCATAGCCACCCACACTCATAGCCATATAATTTTGTATCATATTGCACAAGTTTCTGCATCAATCGGGGATTGTCCTTGGGTGTGCTTTTATAGTGCCTACAGGGATAATTGCCGGCTGATGTCCCATCAAACTGGCCCACAAAACTGTTCAACGGGCCTTTGCTTGTTGGCTTCGGCCCCTCGTACGCCTTCCAAAGGTCTGGGTTCCTGTGATCCCGTGAAAGAAATGAACAAACATAATAATAATAAAAAACTGTGCAAGATCAGATTTTACTATAAGTTTTTTTGTGAGGGGAAATTCATCTATAAAAGACTTCTCAAGTCTCCTGCTGCGGCGCGGCGGCTGGGGCGTGAGGAGGACGGTTGCTCCATCACGCGGTCCGTCTCCCTCTTTGCAAGAATAACTGCTTCATAGAAGGAGGAGACGGCGGCCCAGTTCCTCTCGCTCCGCACCATGGCTTCGACTTAGGCCGGTCGCGAGAGGGAGAGGTCGCTGCACCGCCACCCTATGCTCCACCATATCCTCCAGGCGGGCCTCACAATGAGATTTTGCTATAAGTTGCTGCGAGGCATTCCTCTATTCTCCGTCTTTACTGCGAGGTAATTAACATGCATTGTACAAATCGTCTCTTAACCCTATGCCGTGTGGTACTGTGCCATTGAATTATATTACTAATGGTCTACCTCCTCTATGGTTAGTTAGTTTTCGCCATTGAGATAGAAAATATATAGAGGCGCCGTGTTACTATAGAAGTATACATGCTTATACAAATATGAGGGAAATATGAAACAAACTATGAAATATCATTTTTTCTCACTCTTTCTAAGGCAATAATTGTATTAGACAAAAGGGACAACAATATTTAAGTTGTTGCTTAATATGGAAACAAATTATTTTGACATTAGCAAAGTTGTAGGTAAGTGCCATGTCCGCCATCTTAAGCGCTCAGAGTACCTGAGTTTCATGGTAGTTGTCCTGTCAAACGGTTGTTTATGTTTTAAATTATTGCGGTTTTTCAGTAAATTACAAAGAACTATTTTTTTAAACTTCAAATATATATAGTGAAACAAAAAAAACAATATGCCTGTGTGTTGTATTATGCAGTGTGGTGCAAAAAAGAACGAAAATCAACCTCAATTGTCTTTGTATAGGTTAGTAAACAGTTTTCATCAAATATTACTTAGAATAATCCACATAGATAGAAAAAAAATTCACGGATACTTTAATATATTGCCAAAGTATATATATTTACTTTTATTTCTGTCTGTGAGTCAGTTTTAGTAAAAAATTGTTGTTTACAATAATATGTCAATATGGCATAGTTACGTACCATTTCACAAAAGTATCGATATAATCTCCCATTTAAAATTCAACATATATTATACTAAATAATCTATTTTAACAATGGATGTTTCCGCAGTTTTGTGTAACGCTAAAGTAAGACGTCAGTATTTTGGTATTGGTTTTAGTTACATAAGTAGAAGTTCAAATTATCATGTTTTATAATGGGCGCGATTGACAGAGCGGCGTTGGCGACGATCCCAGTGCGACCACCAAGCGTAATTATAAAAAGTGAGATACATACAATAAGATTGACTTCACTACATATCTATTTTGTGCTAACGTAGTTTCGAAGATATCATCGCTTAATCAGATGCGCCGAAATTGTGCGCGAGCACTTCACAAATACCCACAGGTTTTCCACATATATAAAGATAAACATTTAACAAACACTATCTTTTTCTATTTCACCATTCCATTAAATGCTGTTCATAAACACAGTCCTATTTTTTTAAAAGACGCTTTACGTAGATTTATATGAATACAAATTCGACTTGAGAAAATCATTAGCCAATCAAGAGACCAAGTTAACCCCGGGTTCCGGGCTCTAGCTAGGCCGACGGCAAAGTAGGAACAGGAGTTGATTTTAGTCAGTAACGGTCTGTCCCGAAAAAGGCCGGAGATGACATTAGATGATTTCCCATAAAAAATACCGTTAATCAGCTGGCTAATCCCTAAAACTATACCTACGTAGAACTTTTACTCAAGTCCATATATTTCCTATGTCAATGGTTTTCGCTGAGCTGAACTCATTGACATAGGAAATATATGGACTTGAAATACCTACGAAGAAAAGGTGCATACCTACAATCCAAAATGTCGCATAAGATGGCTGCCGTTGCTAGGGTTGTGCCGACTAAGTATTTAACGAGTATCGATACAATTTGAGTATAAGTTCTACGTAGGTATAGTTTTAGGGATTAGCCAGCTGATTAACAGTATTTTTTTATGGGAAATCATCTAATGTCATCTCCGGCCCTTTTCGTGACAGACCGTTACTGACTAAAATCAACTCCTGTTCCTACTTTGCCGTCGGCGTAGCAAGAGCCCGGAACCCGGGGTTACCTTGGTCTCTTGATTGGCTAATGATTTTCTCAAGTCGAATTTGTATTCATATAATTCTACGTAAAGCGTCTTTTAAAAAAATAGGACTGTGTTTATGAACAGCGTTTAATGGAATGGTGAAATAGAAAAAGATAGTTTTTGTTAAATGTTTATCTTTATATATGTGGAAAATCTGTGGGAATTTGTGGAGTGCTCGCGCATAATTTCGTTGCGTCTGATTAAGCAATGATATCTTCGAAACTACGTTAGCACAAAATAGATAAGTAGTGAAGTCAATCTTACTGTATGTATCTCACTTATTAAGCTTGGTGGTCCCACTGGGATCGCCGCCAACGCCGCTCTGTCAATCGCGCCCGGATAATTATAAAACATGATAATTTGAACTTCTACTTATGTAACTAAAACCAATACCAAAATATTGACGTCTTACTTTAGCCTTACACAAAACTGAGGAAACATCCATTGCTAAAATAGATTATTTAGGATAATATATCTTGAATTTTAAATGGGAGATTATATCGATACTTTTGTGGAATGGTACGTAACTATGCCATTTTGACATATTATTGTAAACAACAATTTTTTACTAAAACTGTCTCACAGACAGAAATAGAAGTAAATATATATACTTTGGCAATAGATTCAAGTATCCGTAACATTTTTTTCTATCTATGTGGATTATTCTAAGTAATATTTGATGAAAACTGTTTACTAACCTATGCAAAGACAATTGAGGTTAATTTTGGTTCTTTTTTGCACCACACTGCACAATACAACACACAGGCATATTGTATTTAAGTTTAAAAAAATGGTTCTTTGTAATTTACTGGAAAACCGCAATAATTTAAAACATAAACAACCGTTTGACAGCACAACTACCATGAAACTCAGGTACTCTGAGCGCTTAAGATGGCGGACATGGCACTTACCTACAACTTTGCTAATGTCAAAATGGTTTGTTGCCATAAAAAGCAACTACTTAAATATTGTTGTCCCTTTTGTCTAATACAATTATTGCCTAAGAAAGAGTGAGAAAAAACTATATTTCATAGTTTGTTTCATATTTCACTCATAGTTGTATAAGCATGTATACTTCTATAATAACACGGCGCCTCTATATATTTTCTATCTCAATGGCTGAACTCGGATGATTTTTCGACTTGACGTTTGACGTATAATAGGTATGTCGATGTCGGTGAAGTCGTCAATGATCAATCTTTTCATTTGCTGTTTACTGTCTTTTACTATATCTTTCAGTTTTTCTACATTAGAAACTGTTTTTGTCTACAAAATACGCTATTTGAGAAAAAAAGATGGAGGTTATCGTAGCTAATGTTGATCATATTAAATTTGATATAGATTACGCGTTAGAAGAACAGTATGGAGCGTTACCGCTACCTTTCCCGGGGATGGACAGTAAGGTTTTTTGAGGTAACGATAAATATTTTAAATATTTCAACTTAACGATATAATTGGGGACTTTATTATTTTCAGAGTCAACCGCGGCCGTGTGTGAATTCTTTAGTCAACCCGGAGGCTGTGGAAATGGTCCTCAGTGCCCGTATAGGCATGTCCGGGGAGATCGCACGGTTGTTTGCAAACATTGGTTAAGAGGTCTCTGTAAAAAAGGCGACCAATGTGAATTCCTCCACGAATATGACATGTCCAAGATGCCTGAATGTTATTTCTATGCCAGATTTAATGCTTGTCACAATAAAGAATGCCCTTTCCTGCATATTGACCCTGAGAGCAAAATTAAGGATTGTCCATGGTATGTAACAAACTGTTTTGGTAATTTTGTCAGAAATTGATATTGAAAAATTTAATAAACATTTATTTTTATATTTCTTAGGTATGACAGAGGATTTTGCCGCCATGGACCACATTGTAGACATCGACATGTGAGACGTGTTTTATGCATGAACTATCTGGCTGGATTCTGTCCTGATGGGTCTGGTTGCAAGTACATGCACCCAAGGTTCGAGCTTCCAGCTCCTCCAGAACAAACAAAAGATGCTAAAAGACTACCTGTTTGTCACTACTGCTCTGAAGTTGGCCATAAAGCTTCGTCTTGTAGTAAGATACCAGCAGAGGTTAGTACAAGTATCCATGCCCTTCCATTGAATATATGTATTGTCATTAGTTTCCTAAGTTAACCAATAAATTCTGTTTTTAGCAAAGAGAAGCAGCTTTAAGACAAGAAGAAGCTAGATACAGAGCACTAGGCTACATTAAACTAGCCAATGAAAGTGAAATTAATGAAATGAACAACCAAAGGATGCAGAGAGTAGTTCACAAACCATTAGAAGAAGTAACCTGCTTCAAATGTGGCACTAAGGGACATTATGCTAACAAATGCCCAAAGGGACACCTTGCCTTCTTATCCAGTCAAGCCAACCAGAACCATAATGCAAATACTTTTAAGAAACCTAACTAGTATAAATATGTGAAGCCCTCAAAGAGGCTTCAGTGATGAACTTTTAATATTTAAGAAATGTGGAAATGTTATTTACTGTCTATATGCTATAAATATAATACAGTGACTGGAATTTCAGTTAAACCAGGTGAAGAAAAGTACTAAGAACTTTGAATAAATTTCACTATTACTTGACTTTGTGATGCTCTTTGTTAAACATTATAATATAATGAGGAAAAGGTCCTTCCTCTATTGCAAGTAGGTATTGGCCCATCTGGGTATACCACATTCATGCCTAGTTCTTGGTGAATATCAGGTATGATTAATTACATATAAACTATCTATTCACATGCGGTTTCACCCGCTGCTTGGCTCCTACAGATTGATATTTTATAGTCTGCTTTCTTCAATAAATGGAAATTCAAACCAGTAGTACTAAAGATTAATGTGTACAAACTCTACAGCTTTATAATATGAGTATAGAAGAAGTCTTGAAAAGTATATTATTATTTGACTATTTTATGAGAGAGGTATATGAGAGGGGTTGTAAAAGAACTAGGTACATAAACACACTACCAGCAATATAATAGAAATAGAATACTGTAGCATTAAAGACATACTGTAGAACATTAGTAAAGATTTTCAAATGTGTATATCATAAAATCCTGACATACGTCATAAAATCCTGACATGTGTAAATGTTGTGTGTCAATACAATTTTAGTTGAGTAGTAACTACTGAACATAAATAATTATATAGGAAATGCAATACATGTGCACCTATGTTAAATATTATGACCTCCAGATTGACTCGCTGTAATGATTTTCAGCCAGGGGTTATTGACCCCTGCAGTTGCATTGCACTAAAACTAGTGTCTAATATTTATTTTGAGGATCAGCGTTTCTGTGACGTGTAGTATTGATTCTTGGGTATTAGTTCTAAGTATTTAGATCATTGATATACCCTATAAAGAGTTTAACACGTTTTCACAGAGTTTGATAGAGTGCTATTGCCCATGAGTGTATCCACTTAGTTATTATCTGTATATACAAATTGGGATTAAATTTCTAATAAATTGTATTCCTATGCAGCTATTTTTTATTGCTTAGGTCACGTGTTCTAATTTTGTAACTAGCTTTTCTTAAAATTAACTCTCACTCATAGATGTATGAAAAGTACATACTCTTTATATGTCTGTGCCCATATTGCACGATTAACGCAGTGGGCAGTGGGTTGTTGTCTATCCGAGGATTTACTTTTCTATTGTCTGCGTTATCTCAAGGTGTCACGGGTTCAATCTCTGGTCGTCCATCATACTTACATAAAATATTTTCTAGTTTTTTTTTTTTATAAAAGGCTTGCTCCACACTACGTTTTTCTCGTGTCGTGGGTGCGTTACCAAACATATAATTTTTTGCACAAGTGTTGTTCCGTGCGGGAATCGATCCCGCGACACGTTGCACGGCAGCTAGTTGTCCAGATACCGCGCCAACCGTGCAGTCAACCAGTGCTGCTGGCTACTGGCATACTGGCAACTACCTAGTGGCTCGAAATCAAGTACTGTTGCATTACGGTGGTTGATATAAATGTCTACCCAATATTTCAGGGCAAAGCCCAGATTTTATTCACATTTTCATTATTTGCATAAAAATGTTCTTTGGGCCAATTTGAATTAAGATCGAAATAGTTTTCTATTGGTTTATTTTAAAATGTTGGTAAGATTTTTTGTTGATTTCAGATTCCAAATCAATTTATTATATTACCAAGGAAGAGAAGAGAACTTTCATTTTACCAAGTTTGAAAGCTTCTACGGTGGCAATAGACATGTGGCTCTGTGTGGTGGCTTAAAGAACTGGTATCCAGGCCATAAACTCAAAAAAAAAAATTTTTGATTGACACTTCACAAACTTCAGAAATCAACGTAGTTTCATTCAGTTCAAAGAGTAAAGTAATAAAGGAGTAGATTCAGTTTATTTCTATAATCTATGCCTTGTGCATTTTTTCTTGGATTGGTTGTGTTAAGTGTTGGAAGTTGCGCGCATTGTCTTAAACAACGTGAAATAAACTACATTTAACTTATACAAGTGCTTGGCTGAAACTTGAAATATATCAGATCTGATATATCCTCGTTTTTGAAAAACAAGGTCCTCAGTGAAGCGAGAAATCGCCGAGAGGTTGACTTAAATCAACACTCGGTACTTCAACAATATCAACATGGTAAGCACGTGTTATATAGCCGCTGTATTCACCCCATATTTCTTTGATAATTCCAAGACCTAGATGTATATGAATATCTTAACCCGAAATGTAATAATTCATTCAACTTATTTACGTTAGTTTCACGTGGTGATGCAATTTTAAGGTTATGTTCAATTTGCCGCTAGTGATATATGAACATTGTATACGGTAGTGGTACTTAAATTAATTATGCTTATTTCTTATCATTTCAGGGTGATTCAGAAGCTGCAGTAAACCCTAAAGCTTATCCTCTTGCCGACACCGCGCTGACCGCTAAGATTTTAAACTTAGTTCAGCAAGCGTCAAACTACAAACAACTCCGCAAGGGTGCCAATGAAGCTACGAAGACGTTGAATCGCGGTTTATCGGAGTTTATCATAATGGCAGCTGATGCTGAGCCATTAGAAATTGTGCTTCACATTCCTATCCTCTGTGAGGATAAAAACGTACCTTATGTATTTGTTAGGTCTAAGCAAGCTCTGGGCAGAGCCTGTGGAGTTTCTCGGCCAATCATTGCTTGTTCAATTACAATAAACGAAGGCTCGCAGCTCAAGCCACAGATTCAAAGTATTCAACAAGAAATTGAAAGACTCTTAGTGTAAGTGATATGAAGTGTGTTTTATAAGATTATATTTTTATGTTGTGAGTGACATGCATACAAAATATATCCACAAATATTACTCCTGTATGTTTTATTGTACCTCGGTTAAAATTTAATTTCATAATGTTAGGAAATCGTTATGAAATTATTGAAGTGTTGTATGAATTTTATTACTTTACGCAGTAGAAACAGGTGACACAAAGGAAAATATGTTGTGTCTTGTTTAACCTCTTGTCTGCTGGTATAGGTCAGTGGGTACCCTTAGGGGCAGATGACAAACAATAGAAAACACCTTGTCTCGTGTGGATCTGCAACTATCCCAGGTTAAATCTAAAAGTCCCATCAAACAATACCTATTCTAAAATAAATAAATACCACACTTGTAATTATCTATTATCATAAAATTTAATAACAATAATGATTTGGAATAATTTACATTAACAATTCTATTATAATACAACAATTAAATACTTATATCATTGAAATAGTTTTTTAACTCTGAGGTTCCAGTTGTCTTCCCAACCAACTTCTCTGAAAGTTGTGATTTCCTTCCGCATTCTGTCTGCTATCATGTTCTGCTGACTGTTATTAGGAAAATCTTGAAACCAATTTGTAAGTTGTTTGAAGAGTTCCTCACTGGTTCTAAATGTGTATCCATTCACTCCATTTTCAACAAGTTCATCGAGGCTGTAGGAAAGTGTTAATTTCACAGTAAGAATGAATCAAAATAATTTAGCAACAGACAAATCAATATTTGACATTAAAATACCTTGACTTAGTATGTGTTTGAACAAATATGAATAAATTTCTCACCAGAGGAAATCAAAAGCACAGACAGGTAATCCAGCACCAAACATGTCCACCACTTTCATGGGGAGATCAAGTCCTGACGAGCTGGTATGCAAACAGACTCCAAGATCTGCACTGGCTACCATTTTAGGATAATCAGTAGCTTCCAACCAAGGTGTGAACACCTGGATGTTCTTCCACTGCTTCTGCTCTATCTTCTTGAGATACCATTCTTTTTCAGGTCCTTTGCCAGTAATCACACAGACCAATTTTGGCAATGTTTCAGATAGATTACAAGATGTTTCATAAACTGTAAACAAAAGAAATCAAAGTAAGTGTTGTTTGTACACCATCTCACTTTTGTCTTGAATTACCACTATTCAAAGTTTAAATTTTGTATTGCTTGTACTTATCATATAATTATTATTTATTATCAGCATATTCAAGAAATTTCTTACATTGTAGAGCCTCCATAAGCAATCCAAAATCTTCATCAGCAGTCCAGCTGGTACTGCTAAACAGAAGGCCTGGCCTGTCAGACCGTAGTTCCACTTTGCCATTGACTTCTTGAGTGAAACGAGTTTTTTTAAAGGGTTCACCAACTTCAATTAAATCCTCACTCCCAAATGCAGGATAGGTCTTGCTAAGCTGAAGAAACCAATCATGTTTTTCCTGTAGTGTAAGTGGCCTAAATATTTTTGGTGGTCTATCATAAAGAACTATTGCATTGCTAAAAATAAAACCATATATTTATATTGAAAACTGTTGGAATACATTTTTTGTATGATGATTAATTCTAAAAATCTTATTCTTATATTAGAGACATAATAATATTTTTTAGAAGACTAGCAGTCCACCCTTGCTTCTCTGGATAATTGGGCCCACCAATTATCTCGGGGTCAACATTTATTTTGTTAGCAAACCATCAAAACCAATCTTAAAACTAAATTATTAGCAGATATGGACAAAGACACTTTTTTGTAGTAGGCAAACCTTACAATGTTTAAGAAAAAATGTAGGTAGATGTTAAAGATATTTTTTCTTGGATGACACCAAAATCCAATAAAGAAAAAATCAATCCATTGTGCAGTAGACTGCCAGTCTCAAGGTGACTAGAAAGATATTTATCGAAGTATTAAAAAATACTTACTTTACATTCCAATTTATCATAAGGTCTTCTTTCATAGAATATGTGACACAGATACTTTGATCAGCCGACTGGCCAAAGATTCTTTCAATAAATCTGGCTATTCTAACAATAATGTGATCAGGAGAGAGAGACATAGCCATTATTGAGTATGCATAGTTGTGCCAGTCTATAATAAATTTAGCTTTACTAAATAAGCAATATATTCTACATACTGGCAATGTGGGTATAGCCGGTGGGTTCTGACACAGAACATAATGACATTTGCCGGTTACATACAACGTAAACAGTAAACTTATTGTCTGCCAGATCGTCTTGGCTACATATCTTATCATTCTGGGGCCAATACTAATAGGATGAAGTTCTGTTATAGTTATATGAGGGTGTTCTATAATTTCAGATAGAGGTTCGGAATCTAAATACCCAATAATATTCACGTCTAATCCGTTGTTTGCAAGAGATAATGCATGATATTGCATACGTGGACTTCTACCGATATCACCCAAAACAACAACTTTAACAACTTTTCTTTCGTGTTCTGACGTCATGGTGATTATAACACAAGTAAACACTCAGAAATCTTGACCATTAAACATAGTTCTTCTAGTTAATAAATTCGTTTGTCACGGTTTTCGGCGATTTTATACAATACAATTTGTTTTCAAACTTGGTTTCGGCAAACCGCGCTCGCAGACGTGCAAGCAAATTGACACTTGACAGTTTCCATTTGACAATCAGTGCCATAGATAGGTATGATATATATACACTGTAACTGGAATATCATAGATCAGTGCCACATTAATTTAGATTTAGACCATAGAAAAGTAAGAAAAGAGGATTTTGTGCATTTCATTCGTGTATATTTTGTTATACGTAAGCAATATCAAACTATGAAATTATTATCCTAAAAACCTATTTTGTTTGGCGGACGGCATGGACATCGCACATTTGAAAAAGTGGAGGGCAAAGGTTGGAAGTAGAATAAAGGGCACATTTATTTTGTAAATTTTATAGTAGGTACTACATGTTTATTATACTACACAACACCAAAACTAATTTAACCATACTGTAACTGATGGAAAATTGGAAACTCGTAGGAACGTAAAATTACAAGATATGGAATAGCAAGCAAAATAACGCGACAATTCCGTATTCTACAATCAACTGGTAACCCTAGAAATACAAAAAAAAAGAAATCGATAATCGGCCAAAACGTAAATAAATAAATAGGTATTTCAAAGTTTTACAGGTTAAGTAACAATATAATTTTTAATATTACACTTACTTATAATAACATTCGGTATTAGTATTTATTGTGTATAAAAGTGAGGATGAAAGTGTTTTCTACAACTAGCTTATAGAATTATTAATATAGATAGATAGGTTTATAAATACTATCTGTGTTAGTTTGCTAGTGTTCCAATAATAAATAATACTGATGTAAGCCGAAAACGATATCCAGCCATGTCTAAGGTACTGATAATAAGACATTTACCAGCTGCACTTTCGTTTGAAGATAAAAAACAACTCTTAAAACACTTTGGTGCCGAAAATGTTTGGGAGACAAGATCGAAACGTAATTATCTTTTTGCGTCATTCAGCAGTGTTGAAAAAGCTAAAGCCTCACTCTCACGACTACATCAGCTGGAGATAGCCAACCGCCGACTCGTAGTAGAATACTCCACTGAAAAGGAACCAGTCACAAGTGATAAAACTGAGTCTGAACAGAATTCTGAAACCACTAAGCTAATCAAACAATTCTTGAAAGTTTTAAACTCATGGAATCCATCTATTGACTTCTATCAACCTCCACCAATACATTTAAAATATAATTATCCTGACATTAATTCACAAATAGCAATTAATATAATTTATTCACTGTTTAATCATAAACCTCTTTATATACAAACATTACATTTAATGAACAAAATGTGTCTTGACATCCCCTTTGAAGAAAACCAAAAGGCTATGGAGTTTTTCAAAGAAACTTATCGGCACTGCTTTGTGAAGGACATCCAGTTACCACCACCTCCACCAAGTGAAACAGAGTCTGAGATATCCAGTGCAGAAGATGAACATAAAGTAGAACCTGTAAGAAAATTAGTAACCAGGAAAAGAAAACTTCCAGTTCCGAAACAAATACACCCAATGAAGCTGCAAGCTGTAATTCCAGTTGTTGCCAAGACGAAGAAACCACCTGTTCACCAAGAGGAAGTATTTGAAACAGTAACTCCTATTCAGGAACCAAAGAAAATTATGCTAAATGTCCATCAAGATGCTTTACAGAAGCCAACTGAAGAACCTGAAATTATTGGGGAACTTGGAAAATTTCAGAAAGAAGATCCACCTGTTGAGGTTGAAGAGAAACAGGAAGAACCGGACCAGCCAGTTGTTACGAAACAGGATTTGTTACGGAATAGGATATCACACAAGGATATGAAAATACTACCAGTATTCAAAAATTACCATCCTGGAGAACCTTCAATGAGATTATACATCAAAAACTTGGCCAAGTCTGTGTCTGAACAAGACTTAAAGAGCATTTATAAGAGATATGTTGAAAGATTGACAGATGAGGAAATGACTGGCTTTGATGTGAGAGTAATGCAAGAAGGTAGGATGAAAGGACAAGCATTTGTAACATTCCCTTCTGTGCAAATTGCAGAAACAGCACTGCATGAAACTAATGGCTATTTGCTAAAAGAAAAACCAATGGTTGTACAATTTGCTAGAGCTGCCAATAAAAAGACTATAGAGTAATGATCTGTGTTTATTATTTTAGTTCACCAGTAACAATAATTATACATCATATTTGCATTAATTCTATGGCATATGAAAGAGAACCCTCATCATTGTCTATCATTTTACCAGACAACAACTTGTGTATGACAGGAAGCACCTTACTGACTGTGTGCAACTGTGTAATGAGGTCCACAACAACATTCAGTGTATTTTGCAAAACTGATGTTACTTTTGCATCTTTTGTCATCAAGTACTGTTGGTAGAATGCATCCATTAATAAAGTAAACCAATCAAACAATTTGCTTTCATAATCTGTATCCATATTTTTATCTGAGTTTATCAATATATGAGCCATGTAAGTCATTAAAAATAGAGTATCATCCAAACAAAGACCATTCCTCAATGGTGGAATGATCAGTGCATCACTGAATGAAATTTGTAGTGTAAAGTTTAGCAACTCAAACTTAGCTTTGTGTACTATATGATCCTTTTTTGTGGTGTGCTCACCGGAACATAGTTTTGCAAATTCTTCAGCATCAGTAACATCAATGTTACTTGGGTTTACTAGGTTTATAGAATACTTGAGCACTGCTACTAGAACCGTTTCTGGTACATCTTTGAACTGTTTAAGTGTTTGGTATACTGCTCTAAAATCACTTTTCTCCAATAGGGGTGGTATGACACTATTACAAATACTTCGTTCTGTTAAACCTAACTTAAGAAGTTCTTTTGTGTCATCATTGACTGGGAATTGAGGTTCAGTTGGAGAATCCCAGTTTGCTATCTCCATACATTCATTTTGAATGATTTCATGGGATCCCAAGAGACTGGATAGGTTTCTCTTTGTCTGTAACACATATGGTAACATGCCAATGTGGTTGGATGCTTCTAAAACTATGCGGCCATAGAAGCAATATAGCTTCGCATTCTCTGAATACATTTTCATTGGGTACCTACATGACCCAACTCCAAGAACAATGTTATAAGCTATAATGATAGCTCCATCTTGTTCTGCATTACTTCCAAATACAATGAGATGGTCCTTGCCCATCCAGGCTAGAGATACACTAGATAGGGTGGACACCCAAGGAACATTGCCTATTGTTTTCCAATCCTTGAAGTCATAAACTGTCATTTTCCCATCACTCCCTGTAATAACAACATTTAAGAAATAATTTGAGGAATATTTTTTTAGTAACATAAAATGAGGTTTTAAATATTTTTAAACTTACACAAAATATACACAGCATTCTTCTCCTCAGTGCAAATAAATTTTCCAACTACATAGACATCGTCAGGTCTTGTAATTTTGATTCTGGTTAACTTGGATTTATCCATGTCACCAAGCTCATCTCGAAGTGGGCAATTAAGGATTTCATAAGCATCTTTATTATTCTTTACAACATAACAAATGTAATCTGTTTTGTTGATAGTATAAGAAGCTGTTTCAACAATTGAATCAGTGTCCTTTAGCAGAGACTTGCTCTCATAAGTCTTTCTGTTGTCCAAAGCATATGGTAAAGATGCACAGTTACCATTACTGAACACAATAAGTGGTGGCTGTTTGCTTCTTGGAATTACTTTTAATATATTTATGGGAAACTGAAAAATAAAAAGAAAATTTGATAAGGATATTCACAATCTGTCAAATGACATTATAAACTAAGTTAGTACTTATTATATAGGTGTTACCTTAAATTTCTTAATTTTATCTAAATTGTCAGAATCTTCCTTCCAGATTTTAACAGTATTGTTGTTAAAAACACCAACATAGCTCTCTTGCTCCTTGTCATAGATCACTGTTGACGTAATGTGATCTTTTGAAGTCCATCCGCCAATTTGCTTTTGGTCTGAAAGCTGAATAAACCAAAATATTACTATCATAACCTTTGTATACAATAGGCATGGCATACGAATGTAAATTGATTAACAACAGATATAGTAGTTTTTGGTAAACAATTAGACTACAAAATTATCTGGATCTAGTTTAGAGCTTTTGCTTCCAGCAACATGTCCTTACTTGATATTTATTGACCACATTTCGTCCCAAAGTAACAATAACGTGTTCTTCTATTTTGTCTTCTGCGACGCCAAGAAAGCTTTTTTGGTCTATTAAAGGGCAAAGTACGTAATAATTATGTAACTTAGCCATTACTTAACACACTCAATTATTAATTTAATTCATAAACCATACATATCCGCGTGTTTTTATTTTGTGAAACAATACATTCGTCTGTCAATAAGCTCATGTGCCGAACTATTTTGATTGAAACATTTGAAAGTACAATCGTGTGACTTTGACAGCTCTCTCTGGTTCACGTTCAGTAATCTTTTAGGTATGTGTAGTGCATTTTGCCTAGTGGAATTTGACCATGATTTATTGAATATAGCTTTTGCTTAGCCTCCAAAGAAACCTGATTTCAGAATCTTTATCAATTAAAATATTAATTTCAATTAAAAATATTCTAATATAATCTAAGCTTTAAACGATTACCTATTAGTTTATTAACACTCACAGCTCGTATTACATTTACAAAGTGAGTGAATATTACAAAAATACTTATAAATAATGAAAATACTATAATGGGTGACTATTGGTAAAGGAGACGGCAGATGGGTCATGACATAAATAATAGCGTTGGTCGGACTAAATTTATTTCTCGAACAAAGAATATAAAGTCCAATATTTTCAAATGTGGGTATCAATAAATAAGTATTATAGGTTCGAATAGTAAAAAAATACTATTATTTATTACATAAATATATATTGATCGAATACTCATCAATTTTATGTAGGTAGGTAGGCGCTTATTTTTTGTTTTCTGTGGTATTGTTTGATGCTATATTTGTAAATTCATGATCAGAGTTCAAGGTTACCTACCTACCTACTTACATCATTTCGAGCAGTCTTATCGTTCAAATAATTTAATATTATTACATCATTGCTACGTACGACGTACGTATACCGAATCGACTTGGCAAAGTTGTTGTTTCACTTCTTGATACTTGATAGTTTATTCATACATTCAGTCATTCTATCGTAGTCATCCAGTGCGCACGAACATGTCTACAGCCGGCAAAGTAATCAAGTGTCAAGCGGCCGTGGCATGGGAGGCCGGCAAACCTTTATCCATTGAAGAGATAGAAGTAGATCCACCTAAAGCCGGCGAAGTTCGCGTCAAGATCACCGCTACTGGAGTCTGCCATACTGACGCATATACGCTTTCTGGCAAGGACCCTGAGGGCGTTTTCCCTGTAGTGCTGGGCCATGAAGGCGGAGGCATCGTCGAGAGTGTCGGTGAAGGTGTTACCTCCGTGAAACCTGGAGACCACGTCGTGCCCCTGTATGTACCACAATGCAAAACTTGTAAGTTCTGCTTGAACCCAAAGACTAACCTATGCCAGAAGGTGCGCGTGACACAGGGCCAAGGTGTCATGCCTGATGGCACTCGTCGCTTCCGCTGCAAAGGACAAGAACTGTACCACTTTATGGGCTGTTCCACATTTAGTGAATACACTGTTGTTCTGGAAATTTCTCTGTGCAAAGTCAATGAAGCAGCAGCTTTAGATAAAGTGTGTTTGTTGGGCTGTGGAGTCCCCACTGGCTATGGAGCTGCCATGAACACAGCTAAGGTTGAACCTGGATCAAACTGTGCTATTTTTGGTCTTGGAGCCGTAGGTCTGGCTGTAGCCTTAGGGTGTAAGGCGGCGGGAGCTAAGCGCATTATTGGAGTAGACATCAACCCAGATAAGTTTGAAGTTGCTAAGAAATTTGGAGTTAATGAATTTGTAAATCCCAAAGATTATGACAAACCCATCCAACAAGTCCTGGTTGACTTAACTGATGGAGGTCTAGATTACACTTTTGAGTGCATTGGTAATGTGAACACCATGCGCGCTGCTCTGGAAGCATGTCATAAGGGATGGGGAGTATCTGTTATCATTGGTGTGGCTGCAGCCGGAGAAGAGATCAGCACCCGACCATTCCAGTTGGTTACTGGGCGCACATGGAAAGGAACAGCTTTCGGAGGTTACAAGAGCCGTGACAATGTACCCAAACTTGTTGATGAATACTTAGCAAACAGACTTCCTCTAGATGCATTTGTAACTCACAATGTGCCTCTTAAAGAAATCAATGAGGCATTCCACTTGATGCACGAAGGTAAATCCATCCGTGCTGTTGTTCAATTATAATTTCGAACATGATACTGGATATTTTTATTTTCTTTTGTAATTTGCATTATTATACTGCATTTTCTGAGTGATAAAATTATTATTATGACATGTAAAACATGTTATCTTTGTAATAATAAACTGTTACTATTTAAAATTTATCTTTCATTTTAGAATTTATTATGTCAATATAGTTTTTTTTATAATATATGTGTGTATAAGCACAATACTTTGATACAACTGTAAAAATTGCATTCAAGATACATACAGAATTTTCGACTGGTTTGAAACCTTAGCTGTAATCAAAGCTGATCAAATAGTACAAAACAATCTCCTATCAGCCCAAGATGTGTGCACAAGCAATTAGAATATCAATGGTATATCACAATTATTTTTATCTCAAGTCAACCAATATCTACTGATAATGAATGGAAGCATGTTGTGTTTATACATATACCTATGAACATTTATGTATGTAGGTGTGTTGTATCGTTTTACTTCACTAGGTATACCTTATATCTATACTTTCTGTAGACAAATAAAATTCAAATTCTGAATTTAAATGTTGTACGAAGTCCGCACTGAAGCAATCGTTTCGAGTATTGTTTAATATTATACGAATGGTTACTTCCGCTTTAAGTACGTTTTAAATGGGCGGCGTGAAAGGCCTCGACGTTCAGTCTTATTAAATTAGTCACCAAATCCAAATTGAAAAAAAATATATAACGGTAACGTTGGGTAACGCAACGCGCGCAAATGAATGTCAAATATCATAAGTACATACCTATTATTGAATCTACCGCATATAACTTGATTGGAACCAACTACTAATGCCGGCCGATTAACAGTAGGTAGGTACTCAATCCAGTTATCTTAGTACGCCAGTTACTTTTATACGCAATGTTGCACATAATTAGAACTGGATACTAGGTGGACGGATAGGTTGATTGGAAATAAGATGAAAATGTATGAAAATAATATTTATTTGTCTATATTCATAACAAAATATACATCACATCATTTAATTATGTTACTAATCAACAGTTTTGCATACATTCATATTTATATTTACAAGTAACACAATAACTTTCTAATAAGAGAACAGTATAGTAACAATAATTAATATTATGTCAAAATTATTACATTTATAAATAATAATCTGATAACATATAAGATAGTGTATTCCCGATAGGTACATAATTATCATATTCACGTGAGACATAAAAAACACGACATTTTTAACTATAAATAATTATTATGAACTTAATAATATCTAATTTAGTATCAATATTTTTTTTTCAAATAAATACATCACTTGCCATTATCGTGTTACAAGGAATTCAAACGTATTCAATTGGGTAGTTTCCTCGGTGAAAAAGATAAGGTTTTAAGTTATAAAACCACAAAAATGCTATAATGATAAATACTTTAATACTTATTCGTATTTTTTTTAACAATTCAAGAAAAATAAGTGGTCTATTTAAATTAACGTGCCTATTTCCCGAATTAATAAAATTGGTGTATTTGACATTTCGAAAGTTTGATTAGTTCGAAACTATCCTTTATGCACTTCATTATTCTTGTTTATAAATATTGAGGCCTAACCAAAGAACAGATCTGTAGAGGTTTTAAAATAGCAACGTGCAGTAGTTGGTGATAGCACAGTCCATGCCACCATAATCGCCATTTTGGTAGATAGCAAGGAAATGATTTACTAACAATATTTTCCCCACACTAAGATTTTCTCCTGTGTCGTGGGTGCAGGCATAGCGTTTAGGTTTATTGTTTACCAAGGTTGCATAAGTAGGTATCTTATTCTCAGATATTTTATTACAAACCGGTCTCCATAACAAAAGATTACTTTATACATGAGAATATGAATAATATATCCTGTCTGAGAATAATTAACCTATGTATTTTTATTCAGCTTATTATTTTTTTACATTATATGAGTGCAAATGAGCAGAGGTATAAATTACCTCACACGGCGAAACAAAACGCTGTGGTTTTTCGTTTCACGACAGGATTCTGTGAGGCCGTGGTATCACTCCTGTCCAGCCGGCTTATTATTGCCAAATCATGGGTCCCACACATGGCTCATAACCATTTGTATGAAATATGAATTTTGATATTATAACTTATTACTTATATTGTCGTCGAATGCAATGGTTACACTATTGAGGCTCTGCAGTGATCTGCTTGTAGTATTCCACGTAACTGTCGCATTGTTCACCTGAAACAATAGGCGTATAGTTAACTTGTGACTATATTGTACAAAGCATTACACAACGTAATTAATTATATATTTTAGGTATCGAATAGAAAGGATGTTTTGAAAGCATAAATCCTGTCTAATCACAGTGACGAGGATAAGATAGGACGAGAAATAACTACCTACCTATTTAAAACGATTTATTGATATCCTTTACTTTACCATGTCAATTCGCATAATTATGAAAATTATCATGAACGCGAGGACAATGTAGGTATCTATTTTTTTAAAGTGTATTATTTTGTTACGATAGGGGTAGCTTAGCTATACCACAATACGGTAGTTTCCAACTAGTCAAATTCAATACTTTTATCTAAATGTCAAAAACGATACTTTTCTATGAAATTTGTATGAAACACTGAGTTATGGCACAGTATAAATATCATACAGTATTGTAACTCGGCCGCTTGAAAGAAATAAATACCTACAGCCGCGCGGTACGTAAACATGCGTTAGAGCTGCTCGTCTCCAGTATTTTAATTACCTTTGTCTACTTTCTGTTTCCATTTAGTTTTGTGATTGTAAATATCCTTTTTTATATAAACAAATAAAGTGCTTTAAAAATAAACAAACAAAATTTCTTTGGCCACTAATGCCGAACTGAACAGCTGACTACGAATGTTCTAAAATCACAACCCTCAAACATCAAAATATTACATGAGTCTAGCTGTTTTATTGTTGTTATTAAATATTTTCTAGTATTATTCATAAACGCAGATAATAAACAAATATTATTAATAATAAAATACCACACTCTCTACTTTGAATTATACAAACTAACAAAACATACATGAACCGTCAATAACTTTATTCATATTATTTATAAATTCAAACATCTGTTTTCGTGAGATAACTGGAAATAATGATCCATAAAGACACACATTATGTACCTACCTAGGCTACTAGTAAGTAACCAGTAACCAGTTTCCAGGTAATTTAAAAAAAACTTATGTCTGGATGCGTTATTGACGAATTCATGCAACCAAACATAATAACAGCACAATATTTCCTATTCGTCATATTAAATAATGTACTCGAGCTGATTTCTAAATAAAAGACAACACACCGTCCGTTCGTCACTGCGGTACAGTCGCGTCTGTCTGCGTCCCGAGCGCGTCCCGACATCGGGCGCGTAGGTATAGTTCGCGTTTCGGCCGTTTCTATGAAGTTGAAATACTTGTAGATATTATTACCTTGGTTATGGCGTCATAGTTTTTGCGTCAAATCGGTTACCTACTTATTCCTTAAAAATTAGCTAAAAAATATCTAAAATTCAGTGCATCGATCGATCGATGAATAAAAGTATAGTTATTTTTCAATATTTTATTGTATTGAAACGTCGAATTAATTTATTTTTGACCTCGGAAACTACCCAATTCCGACTGTACAAGGTGTAGAAATCCTTTATGGGATTGTTTTTTAATTGTTCCGTAGGTGTAAGAAAATAACAAGCACATATTAGCGGAGGAGCGGAGGGCACTGTCCGTCCGCGCAAACATGTTGGTTCACAGGTTTGCTAGGTGTACAGCACAATTAAAGATAACTTTATTCAGAGCCTACTGTCAAAGCTTTTACACCAGTGCCCTGTGGACCAATTTTACGCAGCGGGCCTACAGTGCTCTCAGGGTTCAGTTCAACAACGCCTTTAGGGTTCTGGTGCGACTTCCTCGATTTTGTAGTGCCTCCGGCATGTTTGCGGACGCCGGTGTGGATGATTTTTATGCGCTAATGCGCAGACAGTCGGCCTCGCTCATGCGTCGAATTAGGAGTAGTGGCAACAGAATCCTAGGGATGATCGCTGAAAGCCCAGAGTCACCAGTATGGGATAGGTTTATAAAACTCCATGTTTTGTGAACCATTCTGTTTTTATTTTATTTTATTTTAATTAAGACTGTGTAGCATTTATTATTATTGTGTGTATTTTTTCTATTGCCTTATTATTATTACTAATTTTATAATGATTGATTTTGAGTGACTTATTTATTGAATTGATGTTAATTTACTAACATAGCTTTAAGTTTCAGCCACTAACATAATATGGACATTTAAATTAGTCTGAAATAAATTTATTTTATTTATATTGAATGTAAATGAAAAGAAATTCAAAAAATAATTGGTACCTATTACGCGCGAACTTCGCATACATAAAGCGTGCTACAAACTGCCAGATAACTCGTATGTTTAAGATAACAATGCTTGGCAACAAGGTGGCCCGGCTCCACAGGGTAATACTCAGATGCAGTCAGAAGAATTATTTGAGATTATCAGTGTGTATCCTTAATGATTTTAAATATTCTACATTAGTGAGATTTTGTAGAACTATCTTTTAAAGAGAAAAATTGAGTTTCTTGTTCATTCTTCACATTACAAATCTACATAACATTGGTCTTTAACTTTAAGGTCCTAAGAACCAACTACCATTCGATATAACCAGTCCACATAATTATGTCTATTATTTATAATGTTAAATACTTATTTCTTATGACATTAATGCTAGTTTGAGAAGGTATTTTGTGGCTTCAAGTGTTCGAGTAACAATATACATATAATTCATAGCTATCAGTTATCAGACAAATCCTCACTAATATAGTTAAGATTATATTTTGCACCCAACATTATTTAGCTACACATTTAAAGCTTAAATTATATCAATTAAGACTCAATGAATAATATGATAGTTAATCTATATACATAAAAATCAATTCCACCTTTTGTTGTAAAGTTATAACTCAACAATTTACCGATTTGGCTAATTTTGTAGTCACTAAAATCCAGGGAACGTATGTACGCAGAGAAAATTAACAAAAAAATCTTTTGTGTAAAGTCGATATCCATTTGGGCGGAGCCGCGGGTAACCGCTAGTACCATACATAAACTAGTCGTCATTTTAACATGAAAGTAGGTATCCTTTATCAATGAGTTATCTGGGACATAAAGCAAAGTTTATCAGAAGCAATAGCACCATGACATCAACATGATATATTAACTCTAAATTGTGTTGATAAGCTATCAGCTGAAAAATAAGTCACACCATGATAATTACATGTTTTTTAAAAACTATAACAGACCGGTTCATTCCGATACACGCAAGCACTATTTAGTATTAATTGGGGTCAAGTGTTAAATGTAATTTGGCGATACCTATACTTACATAATTGTCATAGTACTACTCTGTATTACAAAATGTATTGTAACTTAATAAAAAGAGAAATTTCCACAAATTACTACTAGTTATTTAAAAAATAACGAATTCTTAACATTTTTAAGTTAAGGTGATGTGGCGATGAGGTTTTGGAATTTATTTTGTTATAGGTATCTACATACATTGGTCGATTTTGAAACTTATTTTACTTTTTCGTAATACGTATGGATTAACTTTTTATAGAATTTTTGAAATTGTACTCAATCCAAAATCGTAATATAGATTGTACAAGGACTTTTCTATTTTTAAATAGTGCGTTAAACATTCAAAAACTACGATCACAAATTAGCAAACAGCAATTAATTGGAAATCCTACATCACTAGCGTAACAAACGAGATGAAAAAATCCTCTTTAAAAGAAGGTTTAGTTGTGAATGATCTTGAGCTGCGATCGGAAGTGTAGTGTACCTTTGAGGAAGTGCGGGGAGCCCCGCGTGCGCTCGTTGCGTGCCTGCAGCGCGTGGTAGATGGCGGTGAAGGCGGTGGGGCGGCCCTGCGCCTGCGCATGCGCCCGCGCCGCCGCCAGCAGCTTGCGCGGCGGCAGCGCCCCCAGCCCCGCCTGCCGCGCCGCGCCCAGCGCCGCCACCGGCTCGTCCCAGCTCAGCAGCACCTCCACCACCTCCTGTCGGGATTACATATACTAATGTCAAATACAATGCAATTCTATATTTAACAATATTTCGTTGGTTTTTCTAAGTAATATTGATAAAGATAATTATTTTCTAAATCAAGTTTAATGGAAAACTAAGGCACGCTATTTATTATTGAATAAGCTCAAGTATCGAGCAATTGTGTTAGCTAGTAGCTATACAGGGTTGTTCTAACATGTGGTGTAGATATAGCACGCGGTACCTCGTATCCCTTGAGCCGCCAAAGCATGTCGAGCGCGAGCTGCGCGGCGGCGGGGTCGAGATGGCCCAGCGACAGCAGCGCGCAGGCGAGCGGGCGCGCGTCGGTGAGCGCGGCGCGGCGCAGCAAGGCGCGCAGGCGGGGCGCCGCGCCGCGCGTCACCAGCGCCCGCACGGCCAGCTCGGCGGCCGGCTGCTGCACGGCGAGCCCGGCGCGCGCCAGCGACGCCACGTACGCCGACACCACGCGCACCAGCTGCGCCGCGCCACCGTGCTGCTGCAGGACGTGCTGGCACAGCTCGCCCTGCGACACCACGACGCGCGCTCCCGCGCCCGCGCCCCGCGCGCTGTCCGCCTGCCCCGCCGTGTTGCGCGCCACCTCCAGGTCCGCCCACTTCCTGCCACCCACAACCATATCCTTATACATTCACTAAATCGAGTAGACAATCTGATTTCGCAATAAAATTAATAACTTTAAAACCCGCGATATCTAATATCAACAATAGGTACTTAGCTACTGGCCTCTTTTTTGACCTATCGAAAACTTTCAATTGGTGTCACACAACATTTTCCTTAAAAAACTAGAGACTTATAGAATAATTTCCTACTCTTCAATGGATAATTTCTTAACTTTATTATAGACAATCATCAAAAGACTTAACAAGCTCAAAGATATTGACTCTTTCTCCTCAGAATACAAAATAAATTTGGCGTTCCACAAGGAATCGTACTTGGCCCAATATTGTTCTAACAAAGCACATAGGTCGGCTCGACCGGAGTGATACCACGCCTCACAGAAAACTGGCGTGAAATAATTACAGCGTTGTGTTTCACCGTGTGAGTGAGGTTACCGGAGGCCCAATCCCGCCCCTCCCCCAATCCCTCCTAAATCCCTAAATCTTCAAATCCCTAATCCCTAAAAGGTCGGCAACACACTCGTAACTCCTCCGTTGCAAGTGTCCATGGGCGGCGCTGATTGCTTACCATCAGGTAATCCGTCTGCTCGTTTGCCGACCTATTAAATAAATAATAAAAAAACTTCCTTTGTAATTTTAAGTTAAAACGTAAAAATTTGCGATATGTAAATTGTAAAAACAATGGGAAAAACAGTTCGTGCAAGTTTTATACGTTTCCAACATCAAAGTGGACATTACAGCAACGACAAAAATCGATAGCTGCTGTGAAGAGAATTAAAATTCAGATCCCCTCGTGCGTATTATAATATCCATAGTTTTCACGAGGATGAAAATCGCTAGCTAAAAAAAGTATAAAAAGTGAGTGTGTATTATACACACTCACTTTTTATACTTTTTTTTCAATTTCGTTGAAAATCTAGTCGAAAATCAATATCGTATCATCTAGGTAACATTTGACAGATGACAAGTCCTGAATAGTTGCGGACACTAGGGTCGGTGTCATCGCGCACACAACGAATAGTGACATCTAAAAAAATACTACTCCAAAACAGACCATGAAACAGAAATCAATAAAACGATCGGCAAATTACTAAACTAGTCAAATAGTAAAACCACTGGTTGGCTAAATATTATTTAAAAAAAATACAGAGGTATCAAAAGATTCTTAGGTCATCCTAATAGACAAAGATATCAATTGGAAAATCAAGTCGAAAATTTAAGCGATAAAATTAGTAAGTTAGTATACCCTATGCTTTAAAAAACCGCGATCATCATGCTATCACGCATAATGTACATACATACATAATACATACATACATACATACATATGGTCTCATAGTGCGGAGTATTACGGACGTCTAAAAACTGTATTGCAGTGTGTGTAAAAATATAAATCAATCAGTAATGTCAATCAAATTTAAAATATTAGATATAAGATTATTTAAAACTAGCGGCACGCCCCCCCTTCGCTCGGGTCCAACTATCTTGCTATCAAAGGGTCACTTTTTCCTAATCTTCCCTTCTACTTTTCTAATATTTTCTTTGATAAGAACCTTCCCCTGACAGCACAACAAACACAACAAAAAAATAATTAGCAAAATTGGCCCAGGCGTTGTTGAGTTATGCGCTTACCAACACATTTTGCGATCCATTTTTATATATAAAGATATGCAAATGGTTAATTGAAAATAAATTTTATAGCAAAAAAGACTGAAAGTTTTAATCACGGAATAGAAAATACAGTGGAAGAGCCGCTCAGACATCGCGCGCTAGTCAACATGATGTGTAGATTTTCAACATTTCGGCACATTCGTTGTCAGAATCGTTCGCTCCGTTGTCATGATTGGTTGTCATGGTTGTCTCTAAGAAACACGTAATATATTAGAAATTATGCCTTGTTGTGCGGTTTTCAACTGCAAAAAAGTAAGCAGAAAAAAAATGTGTCTTGTGTTGGTGTATCGTATCATCGTTGGGTACCTATTAACCTTTGTTAATTTTAAATATATTTGATTTTAATGAAAATATCACATTTCATTATTTCAATGCAAACTATAAAGGGCCTTATTTTCATTACAATTAAGTTTAAATCTACTTGTTCGTTATGTGACGTTATATACAATACATTCCAGTAGTTTCGACGCTACTCATTTAGGGATGGGACACATTCGTAAAATAGGTTCGTATCGATAATTTTTCATCATCATCAGAAAATTGATTTTTGACAATGTTTGTGTATAATTCATAAATGTTTAACTAAGATTGCATAGACACATCAACGTTTTAACCACACACAGCGTGCATCCGTCTGTGGTAGGTGCGGGTGGTTAATCACCGTTTTTATTTTATAATGTTGTACATGATTTATACAGAGTTCCAAAAAGACTCTCAATTCGATCGTACATGTTTTTTTTGTTCGTTCGTCTCCGTTATTTATGAACAGATTTAAATAATTCTATTTTTGTTGGAAAGGAGATAAAACTTGTAGGAGCGCGTAGTGCTTTTATAATTATGTTAAAATCGAAATCTTTAATAATAACTTGATAATCTCCAAAAAACATATCTTCAAAAAATGTTATTATTTTTCTTTTTTTTCTATTAGAACCTTTTTCATTACTGATCATTTGTAGGTATATTGTGTCGATAAATTATATTGCTCACACGAATACAATAACATCGATATATTGGGATACCCTGCCCTATCTGAGTAGCAAAATAGTAATGTCTATTGGTACAAATGCATACAAATATGACATCTATTTCAAAGAAGTTAGCGTTTTGAATAGAATGAATTTGTTACAGCGCCATCTAGCATTGAGTGGCTGAACCGGTTTGTAAATAGTTTTATTTAAGTTTTTTACACGATAGACGCCTTTATTGATTGTGACATGTGAAATGATAACAACTTTCGCTCATTGTTATAAGACTCAATTTTTAACAACATTTAGAAGATAATTTGCTAAAGTTGCGTTTCAACTTTTTACCCAATTATATAAAGTCCGGTCGCGGAGCAGGAAGAAATTCGTACAATGGCCTGTTATTACCTGTCTCTGTCACTCTCGCGTAAATATGATGCGTCTCGCTCGCACAAATCCAATGACCGCGGCACTCAGGGATTGTGAACCTTTAACCTACTACTGTAAAGTCTGTTTTTGTTTGTTTGTGGTTGTGGTTTTTGGTTGGCCTTAAGTCATGACATGGCTTACTTGACATAATTTATAAATTTTTAAATTCCATCTCGGGATGCGTTAGTGATCGCTCAGTTTTCGGACAGTAATCTCAGTTATCTTAGTTTGTTGTTATTTGTTAGTTCTCTTTTGTTAGTTCTCTTTCTGTTTTGTTATTAAAATTAACAATAAAGAAATAATTTATTTAATAGTTTGTATTTTTTTTCTCCTTCAAATATTATAAACTGCACTTTATACAAAAATGTTTGTGACCACTGTCAGTAGGTAAAGAGGTCATTGTACGAATTTCTTCCTGCTCCGCGACCGGACTTTAGCTGTTTTTTATGTGTGTAATGGACAATTTGATTTGCGAATGTGTGATTTTGGCGACACTGGTTTTCCTTTTGAAAGAGTTTAGGGGCACTTCTACTTAATTTTCTGTTCTGTGGTTTTAATGGTAATAATGTAGGCATTAATAGTTGTGTCCAATAACTACTTATAAGTCTAATAAATTAAATTAAATTTGTAATAACCATGTAAATTAATATTTGTAATTCGTTGAATAATTTTTTGATGCTATGCTATGTAATTTAACACTTCTGTATACCATGTTTACTTGCAAATAAATGATTATTATACTATTATATTAAATGTTTTGTCTGTCAATACTACCACTTATGATAACAATTCTTGAACTTTATAATATATATATATTATATAGCAATAAAATGAACCTAACTTAAACAACAATATTACCTGTAGACTGTATGTATCTCGTCGAAGACCTCAGAAATCTGGACAAGGTAGGAATCTGCCTCGGAGACCAGCTGATTGAGTATCCTGAAAATAGTGTCCTTGCCATCCGTGCGCCGGAGTAACACTGCCACTATCTTTGATATCTCGTCTTTTGGTACCTGCAAAATATGTACTTATAAATAAAAAACAAAAAAAAATTATAGGTGGATGGGGTGCAAACGTACAGGAGAAAAAATGGATGTAAGTATAGAATGGTATTATCAAAGCAGCCACTAACCAAATGTGAATACAAGGAAAAACATCAAGAAGATCGGGACAGATAGTGGGATGAAGACAAAAGTGTAATAGAATCAATCATCTTTAACAATTTAGAAGGGTTCACTAGATACAAAAACTATGAAGTATAAAATGAAAATAAACGGAAAGTAGAAAGATATGAAAGAAAAATATAGTTTTTTAGTGGGCACTAATAGACTGATGACTTGAGGCGAAGGTAAATTACCGAGTGCGCGAGGCCAGCAGGAATGAGGTGTACGCGCCAGAGACAGCCGAGGCGCGCGTCGATGATGTAGTCGGGCTGGAAGACGACCCACGTGTCCGAGTACATGCGGCAGTCGCCGGCCGGCTGCAGGCCCACGCCGCCCACCGCCGGGATGTGGATCACGCATCCGCTCTCCGGCTTCGACTGCTCCATTATATCGAACACTTGGGATGTTTGACTTGCCTGCAACACAACATACAGGGTGTAAGGGACAGCCCTCCACAAATTAACAGGGTGCATTCAGCTCCTTATTCTGAATCATATTCCAGTGAAAATTCTTTCAGGAAAATTTTCAATTTATTTTTCGTTTTTTTCAGTTTCTACACCTCTATTTCAATGTATAATTACATTCTATGTATGAACAATAACATTAATGTAAATAACACAGCTAAAACAAAAAAATACGCAATGGTTGTGTGAATTCTCTAAAGAACTACGCATGAAATCAGCTGTTCAATTTCTACCTAGCGCGAGTCGTTTGAACTCACCGCACCGCGGTCACGGCGCAGCGGCTCGGCGCCCCACCGCGCCGATCGCCGCGCCGCCTGTAGGTATACCTACGATCCCGTCCAACGTACAGAATAGCTGCGTCCCTTTCTATCGCCCCGCCTCCGCGTCTCCCCGTCTCCCCGATTCTTTGCACAATGTTTGCCCGATTGAACCAGTATTGCCAATTTTTTACTTTTTTACCTCAGGTAGTAAACGAAAATGTTAGAACTAGCGAAATTTATCTAAAACTTGAGAACTCCTTTGCATTCATAATTACGTTGATGAGATTTTCATTAATCAATTAATGAAAATCTTGTCGCGCACATAAATTGAATAAGAAATAAATAAAGATTAGTCTAGTTTTAATTTTAAAGCATTTACAAATACTACCTAATTTATTAATTGATTGTTCTTTTTAAGCGATTACTGGCTAGTTTTTAAACTACTTACAGATTTTTACATGGCTTCACAATAGCCATGAATTGATAGTCGAGCCAGAAATTAAACACAATCTCCCTGGAATGGAAGCACAGCTTTCTATCACACTGCACTTTTATTATTCTAAATTAACTAAACAATGAAATTAGAATTCAATTGATTTAATCAATTCATTTCTCTACAAAAAATAACAGAATGATAAATTACGACCATGCATAATTTTTTATTTTTTACCCCGAAATTTTGTAATTTTCGTGTAATTGGCAACAACAGATTTATGTTTGTGTGTGTCTCATCACATGCAGTCGCCATTGTGCCTTGCTGCGATGTTATTGTTTGTGTACCGCGAGCGTGTGTCGGATCGCTCGCACATTCGGCTTAAAAGTTTTGTTATAAGTAGTGTTGTTAATGTTACGAGCCTGACGTCACGTTCCTGACTATGCGGGCTTGAGTTACGGGATTGGATGAAATGAAACACTAATGCCGGTTTTCAGACTTTCTATTGCACTTAAGTTACAGCGTCCACGGAGTTAAGTTATCGGCATTCCTCTCCAGCAGAGTCCGGCCGACTGACACAACTTTGCCGTTCACACTGACTTAACTCACTTAAGTGACTGCACTTCACTATTTCACTGCACTTCACTATTTCACTCACTTTTCTTCTTTTTCACTTCTTCCTTTTCTTCCGAATCGCTTTAGACTTAGAACTCAACTGCCAGCGGTGAGCCGCAGTTCTGCTTATATACCCCCGGTCAGGTTCTGGAACATTCAATTTCGTTATTCTTTTTGATCGTCATGCCTCCAGAACCTTCCAATAATTTCGCTATTCATTTTTATTTATTCTCCTTCTCACTCTTTAATTTTTCATCTCTTTCACACAAATAATTCCAGAAAGTTCGACAAAACTTCCATCAACTAAAAAACTTCATGTTTACGGCGGGACTCGAACTCGGGGTCTCTGTGGTGTAATCCACACGCCTTACCAATTACACCAACTCGTATTGACAATTCACGACGAAATTTACAATCTCTAGGCAACGTTTGACAACCATCCATTGACGTCATGATGTCAAAGAGTTTTCTGTCACACTGCCCCCCTCTTAGAGTCGCTCGTCCCGAGCATCGTTGCTGCCGTAATACCTCGCCAACCTGTCTATATGGACAACTTTCAAAGGGCTCCTTGAAGACTTCCGAATTCTGTAAGTAATGTCATTGATCTTCGTGACTATCTCGTAAGGACCTTCCCAACTCGGTTGCAGCTTTGGAGATTTTCCCTTCCTTCTGACTGGATTATGAAGCCAGACCAATGACCCCTCTTCAAACCCAACAGAATTGGCTCGTCGATCATAGCGCGTCTTTGCGCGATCACTAGCTTGAAGACCGGCCTCCCTGATCTGCTCATAAATGTCCAACATTTTTGCCCTTAACTCGCTTATGTAATCGCTAAACTCGGTGCGAGAATCACCAGGTGGACAGCCCGATACAAGATCTGCCGGTAATCTCAATTCCCTTCCAAAATTTGCAAATGCAGGCGTCTTTGCGGTACTTTCATGTACAGCAGTCCGATAGGCAAGCAAGAAGAGAGGTATGTAAGTGTCCCAATCTCTCTGATGGCTGTCAACCACCTTTGCTAAGTGTCGCTCCAATGTTTGGTTGAAGCGTTCGACCATTCCATCTGACTGTGGATGATAAGGGGTCGTTCGAGTCTTATGGATTCCCAAAAGTTTACAAGTTTCCTGGAAAACTTGGGATTCAAAGTTCCGTCCTTGATCACTGTGCATCTCCAAGGGCACCCCGAATCGGGTGAATACCTCGTTTACCAACTTCGTCGCTACAGTTACTGCCTCTTGATTCGGTATAGCAAAGACCTCCGGCCATTTTGTAAAATAATCCATAACCACTAAAACGTAGCGATTGCCCGAATCAGTGATTGGAAATGGTCCAGCGATGTCTAAGGCTATTCTCTCCCAAGGCATACCAACATTGTAGATTTTCATCGCCCCCCTGCTCCTTGTTTGTGGACCCTTGACAGCTGCACAACTAGTGCATTTCCGGCACCAATCTTCGACGTCATATTTGCAATGCAACCAATAAAACCTCTCCTTGATCTTCACCAAAGTCCTCCTAATCCCCAAATGTCCTCCAGAAGATCCATCATGGAACGCTTTTAATACATCCCTTATTTTTGAACGAGGTACCACCAATTGCAAATGCTCGTCCTTGCCGTTTGTTGATTCCCATTTTCTGCACAGAAGTCCATTATGCAGCGTAAGGCTTTTCCACTGTGCCCATAAACCTTTCGTTACTGCGCTATATTGGGCGACGTCACTCCAACTTGGCTTGTTACCACTTCGTAGCCACTCCAGTATTGGTTTGATATCTGCATCTCTTTCCTGTTCTAATTTCATTGCATCATCTCCCCATGCCTCGTCAACAGTATCAGTCCTTATCACCTTAAGAAAAGCAATTTCCTTCTTGGCACAATGCTTGCAATCCTCCACGCATGGGCGTCTCGATAATGCATCTGCGTTGCCATGAATTCTTCCGCCGCGATGTTCGATTTCAAAGTCAAATTCCTGAAGTTGTTCCAACCATCTGGCTACTTGGCCTTCGGGATCCTTAAACTGAAGCAGCCATTTCAAAGCAGCGTGATCAGTTCTGATCAAAAATTTCCGTCCCAGTAAATACTTCTTGAAATGGTGCAGGGTTTTGACTACGGCCAGTAATTCCCTCCTGGTCACGCAATAATTCCTCTCCGGCTTCGATAGTGACTTGCTGAAGTAAGCAATAACCTTCTCCTGCTCACCATCGCGTTGTGAAAGGACACCTCCTATTCCAATATTGCTGGCATCCGTATCAACTACGAATATTCCTTTCGCGCTGGGGTATCCGAGAATTGGTGTGTTACAAAGCCGTTCTTTTAGGTCTCGAAAGGCTTGCTCACAATCCTCGTCCCAGATAAAGGCACGTTTCTCCTCTGTCAATCGATGCAAAGGCTTGGCAATGTCCGAGAATCCTTTCACAAACCGCCGATAATACGAGCACAATCCAAGAAATGCCCGAACTTGCGTTTTGTCTTTAGGTGTTGGCCATTCCTTAACAGCGACAGTCTTGGCTGGATCAGTCTCAATTCCTCTCTCAGAAATAACATGTCCTAGATAATTCACTTCGCGCTTGAAGAAAGAGCATTTCTTTGGACTCAACTTTAAATTTGCTCCACGCAGCTTGTCGAGTACCTTTTCCAATTTCCTTAGATGATCGTCAAAATCCCGTCCAACAATGATGATGTCATCGAGGTAAACTAGGCAGGTTTCGCCCAGCAGTCCCACCAGCACCTGTTCCATCAAACGCTCAAAGGTTGCCGGTGCATTGCATAATCCAAATGGCATCACCTTAAATTGCCAGAGTCCCTTCCCAGTTGAGAATGCGGTCTTTTCCTTGTCCTTGGGATCCAAATCCACCTGCCAATAGCCGCTTTTCAGATCGAGCGTTGAAAACCATTTCATGCCACTCAGTGTGTCAAGTGTGTCATCGATTCTTGGTAACGGGTAGCTATCCTTCTTGGTTACATCATTCAATCGTCGATAGTCTACACAAAACCTCGTTGAACCATCTTTCTTCTTGACAAGCACGACAGGTGAACACCAAGGGCTAGAAGAGGGCTCTATCACGTCATTTTTCCTCATATCGTCAATCATTTCTTCAACCTCTTTCTCACGAGCGAATGGTATACGTCTGGGCCTTTGACGAATTGGCATTGTATCACCTGTGTTTATTTTATGCTTCACCAAACCAGTTCGGCCAATATCACCATCGCTTCTTGAAAACACATCAGAGAATCGAAGAAGTAAATTTCTAGCTTTCATAGTCTCCACTTTTGTCAGATTTTTGTTTTCGTCTAAGATTTTCGTTACAAAGTCTATTCCCGTACTGTCCTTTTTCACAACATTTTCCGAGCATTTTCTTATCCAGGCCACTTCTTCCAATACGCCCACGGGCTCTCCTTCTTCAATCGTAATTTCTGAATCACTGAAGTTGAATACCGGAATGCGGTTAACATCAGATGACCCCACGACAGTTCTTGCCGGTAGCCATGAGTTTACGTGTTCCGATTTATCAATCACAGCGCACCTTCGAGGTAAACTTCCTTCCCTCCTCCTAGGTAATGCAATTGGTACGAGAGTCTGTGATTTTGGTGCAAGAACAGTTCTTCTTAAACAGCAAACTTTTCCCAGGGTTCCACCCTTCATCGGAATTTCCTCAGTTCCACATAGTAATACTCCAGATTTTAAGTCGATGTTACACTGGTGCCCTTGCAGGAAGTCAAGTCCCAGGATGCAGTCATCCAGAATTTTGGCCACAATAACCTCATGTCGATAAACACGTTCCCCAATTTTGATTGTTACATGCAGTTTTCCACTTATCGGTATGCACTGGCCGGTAGCTGATTTCATTTGTAGGCCAACAATTGGTTTAAGGTGTTTCCTGATGTTGTGCTCGAGCAGCCGAACATTTATCACCGTCCTTGAAGCTCCAGTATCTAATGTTAGCTGACTGTTTTTCCCATTTACTTGACCGTCTATCACCAGAGTATTTCCATCGTTGGTTTGCTTGATGTAGATTGTTGGGGTTGTTCCACTACCAGCCGGCGCCCACCCCGCAGCCCTGGCTGGGTTTAAGTTTCCCTGCTGGTCAGAAGTTGAGACCGCCGCGTCCTTGCGGTTCATCTTCTTCGGGCAGTCGCTCCGTATGTGCCCACGCTCTCCACATCCATAGCACATGAAGTTCCGACGGCGTGGAGGTACCTGCTCCGTTGTCGGCATTTCCCGCAGACGTAAGGTACGGGAGTTGCTACGCACGGCTTCCACTTCCAATGCATGGGCCAGAGCTTCTTTCATGATCTTGTGATGGCCCAGATGAACAGCAGCTCGTACTTCTGGGTCCCGAATACCGTCAATGAACGCTTGGAGAAGCGTGCCTTCAATCATTGACGGAGTCGACCGGAAAGCTCGACGTACAAGTTTCTCGATTTCCACGGACCATTGCTGTAGGCTCTCATTAGCACGCTGAGTACGCTCTTTTAATTGCGCTCTATACACGTGCTCGAGGTGGCTGTCTCCAAAACGTGCTTCAAGTGCGTCGAGGAGGGCACTAAAGCTGAGATCCCCACTTGCGCCGATAGCTTCCAGCACTGAGAGCGCTTGATCACGGAGGGCCAGGGTAAGGGCTGACTGTGCTTCCTTCTGAGTCCAACCATAAGCCTCCATAAGTGTCTCAAACTGTAGCTTGAACGCAGTCCAGGATGTTGTTCCGTCGTAATGGGGAATCTTGAGCCCTTTCGTTGCGCTTAAGGCCGCATTTGGGGCGTCAAAAACGGCTGCAAGACGGCTTCGGCTCTTCAAAGGGCTTGGGTTTGTCACTTCCTGCTTGATTTTGGAGATCTCTTCTTCCAGTCTCTCCTCTATCGCCATGACGCGAAGTTTCAACTTGCCTAACCCTTCCTCCACTTCTTGTACCCGTTCGACAGCCTTTTGCAGTCCCTTCGTGAAATCCCTGTGCATCTCTTCCAAGCGACGCGCTTGCTCCTCTTGGCGGCGAGCTTGATCCTCTTGGCGACGAGCTTGATCTTCTTTCAGCTCCCGAAGCTGTTCTGCCTGACAGCGTGCTTGCTCTTCTTGGCGGCGCGCTTGCTCTTCTTGGCGGCGCGCTTGCTCTTCTTTCAGCTCCCGCAGCTGTTCTGCCTGACAGCGCGCTTGCTCTTCTTGGCGGCGCGCTTGCTCTTCTTGGCGGCGCGCTTGCTCTTCTTGGCGGCGCGCTTGCTCTGCCATCATTTGCTGCAGCTGTAGCAGAAGATCCACCTGCACAGGCTTGGCTTCTGCATCGCTGGTTTGAGCTGCAGCACCCTCTTCCCTCACACGCTGCGCTTCTGACATAGCACGGGTACTCACTCCTCTTACGTCCTGCGGTACTAGCGGCATTTTTCTCCAATCCCACTTCTGACACCAAATGTTACGAGCCTGACGTCACGTTCCTGACTATGCGGGCTTGAGTTACGGGATTGGATGAAATGAAACACTAATGCCGGTTTTCAGACTTTCTATTGCACTTAAGTTACAGCGTCCACGGAGTTAAGTTATCGGCATTCCTCTCCAGCAGAGTCCGGCCGACTGACACAACTTTGCCGTTCACACTGACTTAACTCACTTAAGTGACTGCACTTCACTATTTCACTGCACTTCACTATTTCACTCACTTTTCTTCTTTTTCACTTCTTCCTTTTCTTCCGAATCGCTTTAGACTTAGAACTCAACTGCCAGCGGTGAGCCGCAGTTCTGCTTATATACCCCCGGTCAGGTTCTGGAACATTCAATTTCGTTATTCTTTTTGATCGTCATGCCTCCAGAACCTTCCAATAATTTCGCTATTCATTTTTATTTATTCTCCTTCTCACTCTTTAATTTTTCATCTCTTTCACACAAATAATTCCAGAAAGTTCGACAAAACTTCCATCAACTAAAAAACTTCATGTTTACGGCGGGACTCGAACTCGGGGTCTCTGTGGTGTAATCCACACGCCTTACCAATTACACCAACTCGTATTGACAATTCACGACGAAATTTACAATCTCTAGGCAACGTTTGACAACCATCCATTGACGTCATGATGTCAAAGAGTTTTCTGTCACATTAAGTTTTATTAGTTATGTAGTGTGTGAAGTGTAGTGAAGTTTTGTTGTAGAAATTGTGCGAAATTACTACCTAGGTACGTTTAGCGCGCGTGATTATGGGGAGATGATAATGTGTTGTAGTAGTGTAGGTATCCTGACCGTCGCCATCCATCAGACTCCAGGATAATTACTGGTGACTATCAACGCTTTCTAGAAAACCAGCCCATTGTTCCCAGACAAAAAGGCGCCGGAAGACCAATACCTACGTGGATTTTGGAATTGGTTCGCTAACGTAAGGAGACGCTACCACTTACCAGTGCTTTCCTATTTAAACGTAGTTTAGGTAGGTTTGGACCGCAACCGTGGCCAGCACGATCCCCAGACCTAACCCATTTGGACCCCTTTTTGTGGGGTTACGTAAAAGAAAAAGTGTTTGTGAGTGCGTGTGCAAGTGAGTACGAAATGCGAGACCGCATCACAAATGCTTTCCAGAGCCGGAAACCGGAGCGATTCTAAGGTACCTACGCATTTTTCTTTTTTTATCATTTATCAGTTACCATGTTATGATTGTTAGATTTTCTTTTGTAAGTAATGCAGCTATCTTTTAAATAATAATTTATTGTTATTAAAACGTGGCGCGAGCGCGATTATTACATTGTCTTTTGTAAGTAATGCGGCTATCTTTTAAATAATAATTTATTGTTATTAAAACGTGGCGGGAGCGCGACCGTTTGTCTGAACGTAAGGTCGCGGCGCTGCCCATAGTGTAAAGTAATAATACTAAAAGCGCTGCCGTTCGCTGCGTGCGTTTGCGGTGGTAGCGATACATTGCGTGTAAGGTAATGAAACAAATCGGTTTAATTGGATTCCCATAACGTTCCTGAAATAATTTCATGTACCGGTCAACTTAAGACGATATACTGAATCCACCCTATCAGTTTGCGGAAGGCTGTCCCTTACACCCTGTATATATGTCGGAGAATTAAAACTTTGCCGTGCTTTTCGACTGCTAGTTATCTATGTTCTGACAGTTTAAGTATTTGCGCGACCCACCAATATTCTTTTGATCGGTATTGTTCGTTTTACTGGTTGTAAACTGAAACTTAAGTGCCTCTCTTTAGAACGGGCTTACTTAAACTGGTGTGGTTCTTTCCTCAAAAGACAGAATTAACTTGCACGGTTCTCGCACATTATATTATTTTTCACATTGTCTGGACTTGAAAAGAGCCGGATCTCCCAGTTTGTTTCTTCTCAGAGTAGTCAGATAAGAAATACCGGCTTCATCTAGTTTTTTACATATAATTTTAACGTGTAAAAGTGCTGTATTATGGCCTATTTACAAAAATAAATTTATAGTTTTAAACACGGAGTAAGACCAAAGAGGAGACGGCCTAAACAACTCGGCCCTCACGTCATCAATGTGGGCGTGGCTTACGTCAGTGTAATGTGGTCGTTCGTCCTGTGCACAACTCCTATAAAATATTCATTTTACTCGTGACAGAAGAAAACAAAATGAAGTCTTGTGTTTTATCTTGTAAAAAATACTATGATAAATGTTACGGTGCTATGGATGGCATCACTTTTCATGTATAAGTTATTTTATTCGTCATTTATTAAAATAGTTCTAGCAAAGTCTCTTATTGTCAGCGTTTCCAATTATCAATCTACGCTACTATTACTAATGCACTAGCATATGAGGAGAGATCCACTCTGTAACTCCACCCAACTGACCTTCAATTGACTTATGAAGCGAAACAATTGCTAAGGGATTCACGGGATGCGTTAGTAATCTGCCGACTGCGGTTTGCATATGATGACCTTGTGACTTTCTCATTTCATTTTATTAAATTAGTAAAGAATGATGGGACCTTCTATGGAGCACGGGCCTTGAAGACACCCAGGAATACCCTTAGGGGAACACAAGACTCCGGCAAAGAATTCGACTTCTTAACGGTTCTGATAATAAAACTGGAGGCGAACCACTTCCTGCGTGTAGATGACACGTTATGGAGTCGTGGCATGACGCGTTTGCCGTGTTCAATATAATTATAAACCTTCTTAAAGGCCTTTACTACTTTATGAGCTTTCATAAAGACGTGCAATAAAGAAGTCGCTACAATTTCAGACGTCTACCAATTATTATGTTGTTTAGACGAAGCAAATTATATTGTAATCATTAATAGCTTTGGTAGTCATTTACCTGATGGTGTACGACAACGAGGTCGTCCACGACATTGACGGCGAACCTGCCGACCAGGCCTGTCTTCAGCACGTGCGTGTAGTGGAAACCGGAGGGACCCGTTATCGGCATCAGCCATACCTGAAGATAATCACAAGCATAATATATGTATAAGAACTGAAAATCTATTCAATTGGCTACATAAAGTATGAAAAATACCAGCAACGCACTGCAAAGTGTATAAAGTACATAGTAGTGACGTCACAAGACATTTCCAATCAATGTATCGTCGAAAGGATGTACTTGATTACGTAATAAGAAACAATGCGTGTGTAATGTTTTAAATCTCAAAAAACTAATAAATTTACCGTCTACTTATGTATATAATTATACTATCACATTCATGCACGATTAATCAGAACCTAGTACTGTAGCAGAAATTGGACTGTGTTTTATTAATTCTTTTTTTAATTATAATATTAAATAGTTTAGTACTTTCTATAATTATTTAGACACCACTGATACACGGTGAAGGAAAACGGAAACCTGGACTTATAATTGCTAGTTGAGCAAGTATGGTGGTTATTGCTTAGACCTTCTCCATGTGAGAAAAGATCTTTTCTCAGTAGTGGGCACTTAGAAGCTGATGATGATGATGTTAAACAGTTATTAACCTTAGAATTATAATTTCCACACGTCATCTGTCAGTTCATAACAAAGCATACATTAATAAATGTACACTTATAACAAGCTGAATATGTGGGAGAGCCATGCTTCGGCACGAATGGGTCGGCTCGGCCGGAGTGGGTGGCCTCACAGAAAACCAGCGTGAAACAACCACAGTGCTGTGTGAGGCTCAATCCTTCCCCTTCCCCAATTCGTAATGCCCAAAAGGTCGGCAACGCACTCGTAACTCCTCTGTTGTTGCGGGTATCCATGAACGGCGCTGATTGCTTACTATCAGGTAATCCGTGTTCTCGTTTGCCGACCTATCACATAAAAATAATTAAGTAAATAGTTACCTCAGTAGGTCCTGGCGTGGCGACGGTGGCAGACTGAGCGTGCCGGAAGATGGCGCACCAGGTGGCGTCGCACAGCCTCAACGTGAACACGTCGCGCTCTACCACCGGCCGCGTCGCCTCCACTGTAACGTGCAACACTCATACTCACTATTTAGGTACCGTAAAACAGAGTGAATGGAGTTTGAGAGGTGAATAGATGTTGGCGAATTTTCCTAGTATCTATTCACCTCGTTTTACCGTTAGTATGGGCCATGGGTTGTGGCAATGCACAACTAGTGCGCCTTAACATCAACGATTGCATCACTGCTTACCATCAAGTGGGATCCCAGTCAAGCACTAGTTTATTGCAATAAAAAAAAAGAAAAGACAACACGGGCTTTAGAGGACTGACTCAGGTTTTAACTGTCAATTTAATAGTGGCTATTGATTGTAATCATATTTAAAAAAAAGATTCCCCTAATCAACTATTGTCTCCTGTGTTGTGGGTGTGTTTACAAACATAATTTGTGGATCACACAAAGAGTTGTTCCGTGCGGGAACCGAACTCGCGACACGTTGCGACGCAGCCAGTTGCCCAGCCGCTGCGCAAACCGTGCCGTCACAAATTCAATCGTCGTTATGTGTGTCGTAAATAACAAAAGCTTCTTTACACAAAGTGCTAAAAAAGCGCTTTCAAATTGGGGTTTACACTTTACACAATATTGGTGAACAGTGGGTTTTTATGATTTATGCCTACCGGCTAGGTTTGAAATTTTCTAACCTTATAAACCATCATGGCCTTAGATTAAGGGGAAGCTTATTCTTAGCATCACACAAATGCATGATGATTTACAATATACTAACACCATACAAATGATGTTACACACAATTTGTTGTATTATTGAAATAACAATTTGAATAAAAATTAATTGATTGAGTGTAAGTTCCTTACATTCCAATTTCTGCAGTTTGGTGATGGTTGAGTTGTTGAGAGAGAAAGGTTGCAGCAGCACCCCATTGTTGCCGGCCAGTAACACTATATTGCTCTGTGAGCACCAGGAGAACCATGCGCAGCTGGAAACAGCAAACAATTATTGGTGAATTGTTTGTTGTTAATTGTTTATGTTTACATACGGTAAGTGATGTGTACATCTGTTAAAGATATACATATAAGAACTCTGTCTCAGTCTTAAAATTAAGAAAATTTATTTTATGTATATTGTTGATGTACCTTATTGAATAAAAAAAACAATTGATATTATAACAACAACAATCAGGAAACTCAAACTTAATTTACAATATTATTTTTAGATGCACTTGAAACAACTACCTATTATCAATTTATAAAGTAATCTAGGTCAAATAAAACATTACTTAAGTATTAATATGTTTTTACCTAAAAGAAATATTTTTCAAGCTCTTCAACTGTTTTTTATCAGGTACAACTTGTAGTAGCTCAATCCCATGGTCTGTAATGAATGTTATCTCATTCACTTTAGGCCAAACAAAGCCTAGTATCTTTGCATTCTTCCATTTACAAGTATGGGAGTACTCTACATTGGTCGGAGCTAAGTCTTTAAAGTTAACAAACTCAACAGTTGCATTCTGATTATCCTGGTTCCTCTGTATCGCCAATATTTTGAGGTCTGGAGAAAATTTTATTGATATTATTGGTCCTCTATCCTCCATTCGGAATGAAGTTGATTTCGTTGGGTCCATGCCAGTCACCGTAACGCCTGTAACGCCCCCCGATCTAACAGTAAAAACCTTAAAAAAAGAAGTCATAGAAGTTATTCAAACATCATTTTATATATTGTCTGCAACTAATTATCAAGATATTTACAAATATTAATTAGAATCTGAGGTGTAGCTACCCTTCTATTAACTCATTTATTTAACCAACACTAAAAAAAAACAATCTATAGGGTAAGGAAATTGGTAACCATTTACCTGCCCATTGCTGTCGTCGAAAAACACATTCGTAACAGGACTATCGGCATCAAAACGCTTTGGCTGATCAGAGAGTGCAAGATAATATTCCTCGCTATCCTTTAATTGAAAACGTGCCATTATTGATCATAATAAACTTTCGTTTTACAAAAATAACACACCGTAACACTCTTTGTTGTGACAATTTTATGAACGTCAATGCCAAATGTCAATTTGAGTTGACGCACCGAAGTCTCAATGTCAAGATTGTCAAATGGTCACCGAACTCTGCTCCCGTATATTTTTTTGCAGTACCCTACGGTTTGGATACGAGTTTATATACCACATTATTTATTACATAGAAAAATCGAAAAGGACCTATTTCTATTATTGTATTATATTTTGTAAAGTCATGAGTATAAATGTGGATAGATGGAGAGGGAGGGGGAGACCAAAGAAAATATGGATGGATTGTATGAGAAGTGATATGGAAGACAGAGGAGTTAGCGATAGCGTGACGAGTGACAGGACAGAATGGAAGAAAAAAACATATTGCGCCGACCCCAAATAAAACGGGACAAGGGCTTCCTGCCCTTGTCCCGTTTTATTTGATGATGATTTTGTTAATGCCAAATATTTTTTTTAATAAAATAGTCCACTTATATTAACAGAGTTCTACTCAACCAAAGAATTCTTCGAAGGAAAATAGAACACCAACATTAATGTTAAAACCCACCTCATATACACACAAACACCTACCTACTAACTCAACTAACAACTTTATTTTTTATTTATCTAATTCTTAACATTTTGTTTTTTTTTCTCTTTTATCCAATGTGATGTAAATTAAGTAATTTAATATTATTTTATAAGCTAGTAATAGCCCTCTTGGCAACGCCTGAAAAAGGCCGCTAAGCTGTGCCTGTTATTTTAACTTAAGATCCTAGTACCCACCTTAACATACAAATAAAAAATTTGAATTTGAGTTCTATTGGCAGCACAAAAAACTGTAATAATACAGAATAAAACATAAAAAAATCCAAAGCTAAATCATTACATATACATATACATTTCACACACTACTCCCTTTGCCTATAGGTACCTACTTTGACGCTATGGCCAAACTGTTGTCATAGAAACGAATGGCGGCAACAACAAAATAGGTACTGCTTGTGTTTTGTAGTGTATTAAAAATAAGAAAGTTATGAATGAAAACATAGAATTACACACCTTTACGGCGGATGACTCCCTAGAAAATGACATCCAAGAATATCATGAGATAAAACAAGATACGACACTTGATGACATCGAAACATCTTTTTCATCAAAACCATCTCCACAAAGACTTAACGATTATGATTTTTTTACCCAGCACGATGTGAAAACAGAAAAGAAAAAGCATTTAAAAAAGAAAAAATCGACAAAGAAAAGCAAGTCGTCTAATTTAATGGACATTATAAGTTCTGAAATAGCAGCTTCCGTGGTGCCTGTAACTGAAAATGTTGTTACCATAGTGGATGTGAGTAAAGAACGACAAAATAGTTTCTTGCGAAGTTGTTCTGATACATCGACATTTCGGAAATCTAGAACTTTTATCTCTGATGCTGAGAGCGGGTAAGTAGTAAATTTTCTGGTACCTATTTTACGCCAATTTATAACCTGAAATGTACCTATAAGGGTACCTATAAATTTAAAGGGAACTTTGCTGATCCTAGAAATTAACCCAAGTAGGTGACTATTATTTGGCATTGCGAAGTAAGCGCACTAAGATACCGTGGCCTCGGCCTGGCATAGGAGAAGGCCTGTTCTTTTTATGAGTAGTCAGTAAGAGTCTGACATTCCCTCTCGTCTCACGCTGGGCGAGAAAAACCAAGTGATGATATTTCCCCTTCAAAAAAAGAAGGTACATACCTACTATTATTGTTTGCTATGGTAAAGATTAGGAACATACCTTGCACTGAGCTTGCATACTAAACTTATGTTTACCTATATGATTTTATTTATCATTTTAGGTGGTATTCCAAATCAGAAGTTGCCAACTTGAGCCCTATATTTCCAAGGATTTTGGAAAACGCAGTGACTGAAACTTGTTTAGTTGAAGTCGAATATGTAGAACCGTGCACATTTAACGATATCGTTGTCTATAACAATGACAAAAATATTGAGACCCCAATCAAGTTCTTGGATATCTCGATAAGAAATATTACAGCTAAGCATCACCACTCCTTTACATTAGAAAAATTAATTTGTTCGAAGCTTTTAGACACATACAATCAGTATAGTCAAGTTCAAAAACTTTTGAAAGTCCTTTCGATGGACATTAGGGTGAATAGAGAAACAAAGGATAATTTAAAAGCAGACCTTATTAAAATCAGCCCTAGTAAGAAAGGGGACGTTCGATTCGATAAAACTGTTAGGAAGTATACAGATAAACTCATTCAACTTAAAGCAAAGTTTAAAGAAAATATAAAGTTAAAGAAACAACTCATGCACAAGATGATATCACTATGGTCGGATATAGAAATGATAAGGGAGAAACGTGAATGTATTGAAACACCGTACTTAATAGATTTCACAAAAATAGAATACAATGAAAATGAATTCGAAAAACATTGGAACGATACGTTTAACATAGAATATTCGGATTTACTTGATTTAATTGAGTATGAGTATGTAACCAATTATTTACAATATAAAGAAGCAAAAAATGGACACGATAAAAATATTGATAATAAACTGATTAAGCCCAAATTAGTTTTAGATGAAGGAAAAATTAAGAGCGAGGCAGAAATGTTTGTTAATGAGGTAGTCAATAAAGAAGAAATAGACATTGAACTGAAGAAAGACCTAAGTTTATTAACAGACGCCAAACAAATAGGCCAACGCTTTCAAAAAAATAACTATAATTTTCTGGTTTATGTAGATGATGTTTTTGTATGCGAATCCGAAAATTATTTAAGTGACGACACGTTCAGCGCAAAGTTAAACGAGAGTTTCTCAGTACAAATTTTACCAAAAAATATGGGCGTAAGATTAGTTTTGATAGAAAATGATAAGAAAGTTTCAAGTTTAAAAATAAATTTACACGAGGTAAGAAAAACAAATGCTAATGCTGATTTTGTGGCTGAAAACCTAATTTCGGAAGAAATTGTTGAACCAACCTCAAGATATGTAGGTAGTGGCATAAGTATCAAAGAAATAGCACATGCTAACAAAGTAAGACTTAAAAGTAGCAATCTATTCAAAGAAAAGCTATATACTAATTACGAAATTGATATTAAAGTCGGATGGAATGATAAGTTAGAACAAAATGAATCTGAAGCTATAAAATCTTCTACTGAAATTGGTAAGCAAATAAAGAGACTAATAAATGGTATTGAAAAGCCAAGTTTTGGAGTGTTATTAGATGTTATAAATAAGGTATACGAGAAGGATGTAAGTGATGAAAATATGATCGAGACATTGCAAAAACTAAGTACAATGGAAATTACGAGTGACGACAGTTTTCCTTTGGACCAGAATAATCCAGACGTTGTGAGGTTGAAACTACTTCATTTGAGAAATAGTGGAGGTTTTACAGGTATAAATAAGAAATTAGTTCCTCTTCATGCAAGCCAAATAACTACAGAACAATTAAATTGCTTGCAAAAGACAAACGATAACGATTTTGATATGGAATATTTAAACGACAAAGAAATGGAGATGGATCCGATAGAGTTACAGAGATTTATTGGAGCAAAGTATGTCCAGAAGCTAAATAAGAATATGCTGAGGAACTTAAATGAATACCTCTTACAGAAGACACACAAGGACGTTGTTCGGGAGTACAAATTCAGTTTTAGGTTTGTTTTCTTTTGTTAGAATTTTTATCTGAAGAAGCAAAGTTCCTTGCTAACGGTGTAATTTAAAACTTTTTCTAGAAGTCTATTTGCTAATCAAGCTGATGTAGGGGCCTTGGCGACGGCTTCAAACTCAACCAAGCAGCAGATCCTGAGAGAATCACTGAGTAAAGATCAGGAAATACATGTGACTGTGTTGAGGGCATTCAATCTGCTCGATCGGAGCTCCACCGTGCTAGACGAGGCGTCTGAGGATGAAGAAAAGATTGCAGGCGAGATATTTGGTTTAATTGTTGTTCATAATTATTCCTCATCACTCCCTAATTTACCAAAATCATTACAGGTTTTAAAATAAGACCACTAAGGCCGTTCGTTCGAGTGAGCTATAGAGGGGCATCAGCTCAGAGCGTTACTGCTATCGGATGCCACCCATCCTGGAGTCATACCCTCAAGATAAATACTAAGTTGGTATTTGGGTTCTATTTTTATCGTATTACTCTGATTTTTTGGATTTATTTATGGAACTTACTTACAGGCTTGATCCACTCTCATCCCTCCACGTGAACATCTACGACGAGTATAAAGCGAACATAGTGGAAGGGTTTCCAGATGAGGAGCACTCCAACAAGACAGTGCACTACCGGTACTATAACAAGTGGCTTGGCACTCTCGAGATACCGATGTATGCCGTCTTGACTTTGGGCACTGTAAGTACCTACATACTTCATTCAATTAGTTTTAATAATCTTTATCCTTATCGGCCACCATCAATGAGATGACCTTCCCACGCTTTCTTCTTACTTCAAGTGTGTTAGAGTTGAGTGATCAATGATACGACCTCAGAAAAATGACTTATCCATAACAACTGCAGCTTTGTGTTTTGCCGTGTGAGGGAGGTGGTCGAAGGTTCACTCCGGGGAGGATTTCCTTATCCCCTATTCTCATCTTCAAATCCCTAAACCCCCAAAACGCCGACAACGCGCTCGTAAAAATAACCCAGTAGACATTCGCTCTACGTACCCAAACTAAAAACTGTCTGTTTATTACTAAGTTGCTTTATCCATTACTAGTTGTGCCCCGTGGTTTTACCCGCATAGTTTATATCCTATGTTTACCGGCGATAGTGTAGCTTCCCAACAGTAAAATATTTTTTCAAATAATTTAAGCTCCATAATATGTGTAGGTATTATAAAAATATACCAGTAGAATAGATCTAAATATAGTGCGTACAGGAGACAGCAACATCCTCATTTTAGTAAAGAGGTGTGTCCATTGAAGTTCGCATTATTGTTGTGCAAGTGTGAATGTCGCGAGGAAGCAGCGTGATTCATGCACAATGAGAGTAACGTCCTGCCAACGAAGATTGGCGATGACGCCAGAGGACGATGGGCGTGTCGCGCTGACGTGTAGTAGATACCTACTCGTGGTAGGTACCACCTACACTGTAGTCGGAATAGTTAACAGTTGGCATGTATGACTGTGTACAGATTACAATGACAAAGACTAATATTTACGACCCTTGTTCCAACAAACATTTATTTAGTTTAGTTATTGATTTTTTGCCAAATATTTTATTTTACGATATGTGCTCATTTTATATCCACTCGTATTTAGTAGCTAGGTACCTATACAATTTGCACACATGATCTAAGTGATATTAACGTAGATTACTATCACGCTTCCAGCTTCGGGGCACATTCAAGATCACGAGCCCGCCACTCGTGTTTGGTTATGAAACCCTCCAAACGAAGGAGTCAACATCGCTAATCCCAGAAATAACACAGCTCATGAAGAAAGACACCGCATACATTACGTTAGAAATAACAAGTAGCCTCTCACATTTAGGAGGATTACACGCTTACAACCAGCCTCTGCCAAGCTCAATAGAAGACGATTATTTGATCAAACATTTGAACAATTTCGTAACAGAATACACAAATGAATTTCCCATGCGGAATATTTCTTTGACTTTTATAGATAGCATGGGTAGGAATAAATGCGTCACACAGTTCCTGCAGCCGATACCTTTGCCCGAAAGGGACTTTATCCCTAAAAACCCCAGAGGAGACTCAGCTATTTCGAAGTCTTCTGGATATTCCAAAAGTTCGTCTTCGAGTGGGAGACGGAAAGAGCTGGATGTAGATGGAGCAAGTCAAGAGGAGAGAGAGTCAGTGTACAGCGCTCGCGAAGGTGACAGTCTCGAGAGAATGATGAACGCGTGCATGCGATACGTGTCACTGATACCCAGCTACGAGGTGACGGAGTCTCATGCTGTCACGCTTTTGGGCCTTGTCAGTAACCACCAGATCCGTATTTGTTGATTGGTACTTTTAAAAATAAACATGATGTAACTCTAGTATTATTAACTTCACAGGAACTGCTAAAAGTACTTCACGGCTCGCCATTGGACCACACCATCCTTTTAGCCAGCTACTTCATATATCTGGGAATCAAGTGCTGGGTGGCCATTGGCCTGGGCCTACCCCGAGGACACAGTAGTTTTGTCCTCATCAAGTACGACTTGACTACAAGAAGGATAGTGTTGGTAAACGATCAGTTGTTCAGGAACAGAGGGTTCTTGAATAAGTCTGATGGGTATACCTGGTACGTGTGTGACGCCAGCAGCGGGGAGCGGTATGAACTCAGGGACGTAGGGTGTCCTCTGAAGACGGTTGATTATGTGTTTGACAATGAAAACGTAAGTGGATAATATATAGCGGAAAACATGTGTGGGAGGGAATCTAGAAAAATATAACATTTAGGCTTGGATTTTCAGATATGGGTGAATGTGCAAGCGTCTCAGGATTGTGAAAACATGTCGTTTGATTTCACGAAATCTTCTGATTGGCAATCTGTAAGTATTAGTATTAACGAAGTGATCGTCAAAACAGTTGTTTACGTTACATCTCCTCTCAGGTTTTCGACAAGACTGTATTCGTAATGAAGCAGCCAGTGGTGACAGACAACGCGCTGTATTCCTCTCCGCCCAATGTGGAGGGGCTGAGGAGTGCACTGGAGACGAAGATCAAGAGTAAGGTGCAAAAGTGGAGATCTCATATGAAGACTATATGGAACAGGTCAGCTAAGAAGAGTCAGTAGTTAATTTGATTTGATGGACCAAGAAAAAAAAAAACAATGATGATACGCGTATGTACACATCTACGATACAGATTTATAGTGTTCCTGTATTCTTAGATACTGCAGCACGTTGCTACGTGACATGCTGCTGCAGTGGGAGTACTGGGTCTTCAATCCCACGGGACCCAAGCCAAGCTTCAGTCAGAAACTCAAACATTTGATGGTAACATTTAAGGTAATCTCTTAAACTTTTGTGAATTGTTTGGACCACTTCTAGGTGTCTCTATTTATATAATTTGTTGTTTGCAGATATATGGTTTTCCTCTTAACTTGGCGTATGTGAATACGAAGTCAGTAATATCCGCCATCAAGAGTACAGGGTTGCACCTGAGTGACGACCCTAACGTGGAGTTCGCGCTCGGCGTGGAGGTGTGCGCCTACCCTAACAATGTGATCAGTATCTGGGTGTTCCTAGCTAGCATCACTAGAATGTAACACGTGGATTATAAATATGTACTTCTTTAGACTTGTAAAAGGGCAATATATGCGTTGAAATTCAGTCTGTGTCAATTTACTGAACTGTGTTGTGGCTTGAACTATTCCAATGGAATTACAGAATATGTAGACAACTAAAACTCTACGTGTGTCGCAAGGTAAATATGTGGGTAACCATCGTGCACCAAACAAAAACTTTACAGAAGAGCAATATAAAATTTTATTTTAAAATTCATTTCATTCAGGACTATAAAAACCAGATTAATTTAAATAAAAATAGAGCTTGTATGTCTTTTCGTTTTAATGCTAACAAAATAAAATTAACATTTATTCCATTGTAGTATAAAAATATACGTAAAAATAGAAAAAAGGAGATGTTATACGTGTTGTGGCGTCGCCGTCGTAATGAAGCCCAACGCGACGGGGCGCCGCGCGGCGACGCGGCTCGATTCAGTTCCGGGCTGACTTAACCTAGGCGGGGCGGCGCTTAGCTGCCGGGGTCGTCGGGTTTGTTCTGTTTGGAGCGCCGCAGCTGCTGGATGTAGTGGCGCTGGATGGGCTTGTGCAGTGCCAGCTGCGCCAGCGCGTCGTCTATCGAGAACCACTGCCGCTTGCGGCCCATCAGCCGCGAGTCTTCCCACTCCGCCAGCTCCTGAGTTACCGTCATCACGTACACCTCCGTCCGGTGCTTGTGCTCTCGGTTCTGGAAGCAAATTAATTACACATTTCAGGACATCCATTAGTCGACTATATACTGTATTAGGTTCAAACAGTTCATGTAAAGATAAACGAGTGGTCAGTTTTAGTGAACAAACGACCACGACCATACAACATGATACCCGTAGTATGTTTGACATGGGTGCGAGGCGCGAGCTAATGTAACTTTACACAGGTAGCTTTGCATAGCGATTGTTGGGGATCAAATGGCGTCACCACTGTTATTATTTTTTACCGCAGTAATGAACCCTGTTTGTAAACTAACACCACAAAAACAGTAGCATTATACACTACAATGCTACTAGTTAGTAAGTAAACAATAGATCGGAGCTATGACGTAAATGTACCAATCAAGCAATCTTAATTAATTTTACAACAAAGTAATTGCTTATGTAATTAGCGACGTTAGTTAACGTGTGATAAATGAGCTAAGAGTTCACTTGAGTGACATCTGGTGATCTGAAACGTTAATAATCTATTTAATCCAAACTGAACCCGGGGCAACGTGGGTATAATTGGTTAAACTACTGCCTAATTGTGTACATCACCTGTAGATACGAATTTTTCTGTCGAGGTAAAACGATAATGGATTAATTTAGTACACTGACTTGTTAATTTTACTGTGACCAAGAGTATTGTAGAGAATATTATAATTCAAGGATAAAAACAATGATAGAAGCAATTTAGTTGCAATTGAAAGTAATTAGCTAAATACAGATTCTAGTTAAAGGTGAATTAACGGTCGAACTATAGGTAGATACCGTATAAATAACAAGTCTTATCTCGAGGAAATTTACAGAACATTAGTTGCGGATAAATTTCGTGAAGCTCATCTCGCAACCGTTGTAAAAACACAATAATATAAACATATTATGTAGTTAACATTTCAAAGTGATTGTAATTTTCGTAAATGTTTGAATAAAAACAAACAAGTTATTAGCATAAATTAAATAAATGATGAAATCAAATTTGTTTTTTAAATAATTTGATTCGAATTATATGCAATCGCGCGAGGCGAGAGTCTGATGTTATAGGACGTATATGTATGTGGAGCGTGGTACTGGTAACACTGAGCACAACAAACAACGCAACAAGTCGCTAAATTATAAATTTCCTGCAGGATTAACTGCGGGATGAATCGCGATTTACGGCATAAGAAGGAGCAGATGTCACTACTGGCAATTTTGGAACCAAGAAGTCAGTTCGCGAGATTTCTATTAAGTTAGACTGTGCTAAAAACATTTTATTTTTGGCACAGTCAGTTAGCCCTTGAATTTGGAAAGGTTGTGGATTAGTTGTCGTTGATGACAAGTACCTTTATATACAGTTACAGTAATATTTCCGTATAAATACGACGGGAATGGATCACTTAACAACCTTGAGTCTTAGACACATTCACTGTTTTTAAAGAGGACATTAAAAATAAATTCCTGAAAGTCTTTTTGTTAGGTTTTACAGCTTTTTGTCTGGGTGTAATAAGTTTCCTTGGTTAAATATGGGATGGTCCAATTTGAAGTTATTTAGAATCTCATTGCATTGTCTTTAATTAACATGACAAATAAAGCCTAATTGAAAAAAAAACATCCATAAAAATAACTACAAGATTTACAGGAAAAATAAAGTTTCGTCGATAAATTAACATGATGTAAACTGTTTTATTTTGTACCAAAACCGCAGACAGCATTTATAGTTCTATCTGTTATATATAATAGGAGAATAATATAAACGGCATTTGTGGGTGCCAATACAACGAGTCATAGAGGAATTCACAAAACAATATTATTGCAATGAGTCATTGTTTTAAAGTTTGCAAATTTCCTATTAATTTACCATAATAAAGCCATAACATTTCCTTGTAAAACGTCGGGACTGTTTCGTGGCAACATTCTGGCACATTGTCTACAAAACTAATTTAGATAGGTTAAACAATATGTTGTTTACTTCCTATCGTACTGAAGCGCCCGTTGTTCGTGTTGCAGGCAATATGACGTCGTTATATTATATATTGGTATAAGTATATGGGCATTACGTAAAATATTTCACTACTACAAGCTTAGTTATGATATGCCTATGATATACCCATCTAATTTTAACCTCATTGGTATATAAGTAGTTTATTTTTTTACTTCTGACCCTTTTATAAGAATTCCTGGACAATGTATATAATAATATTTATTTATTGCCATAAAACACGGTATGACAAGGTTTTACAAAAAAGTATGAAAGTCCAGCATGTTTTGCTAATTATATATAGCATGCAAAATTAAACAATATAAGATAGCGGGCAGATCACAGTCGATACCGAGAATAGTTTCCTTTGCATGAAGTCATTTGAGGAATAAAAATTTTGTTCATTAAGCCATTTATACAATTTATTTTTAAATGTATTGAGATCAAGATATTTTAAATCATTTGGTATATTATTATAAATTCGAATACACATAGCTAAACAGTTCTTATTATACTTTGCTGATTTAGGAATGTCACTTAGTACAAGTCTAAAGGGATCTCTGCGATTTCGAGAATAGACATCGTTTGCACTTTTAAATAAATGTCTATTTTTTGCTACAAAAATACAAACTTCATAGATGTAAAGCGACGGTAATGGTAACAAACCAAGTTTTTTAAATATTGGCTGGCAAGACTGATCAGGTTGCAGACCATAAATACCTTATCCCTGTCTGTGCTATATCCCCATATTATCAGACCATAACGGCATGTAAAAGTAATTTGCTCTGTATAAGAGCTGGGTCCGAGCTGTATTTACTTTAGCTAAGTACCTAGGATCACAAAATATCTATTTTCGTCCCAGGCGATGAGAATGTATTGATTGGTTGACTTCTGGATTGAAGTAAAGTATAGCAAGCTGCAAGTTGGGTCCGTGCCGATATTTGTTAGAAACAAGTAAATAACGAATACACAGTACAGCAGTACCCTAATCTAAACTTTAGTAGGTTTCTCACAAACTTAATTTTATTTTATGCTTAATTTTAAATAGTGGGGTATAAATTCACGCCGTCTTACATACTTATTTTACGGACTAAAGAAAGCTATAAATCATAGACTTTTTTGTTTCTAGTCATTTGTCGAAAACTGTTTTGTAGTAACCTACAAAACAGTTCATAAAATAAATAGGCAGGAGCGACTTAATTACTCTGAAAGGACAGCGCCATGTCTCCCATTTCGTCATAGTGGTGCAATGTTGACCAATTTTGTTTCCTCGATCACACCTCAATGAAACAAAGTTACTTATGCAGAGTGGTGTAAAAAGCGCTTTAGATATTTTTGTGATGATTTCCTACACTTAAACGCTTTGCGATAAGTTACTGTAACCGCTTAAAATAAGTTAATTGATCTATTTTAATCAGCTTATACTGAAGTAAACCTAGTCGTAATGTAGTTAGCGATTAGTTTGATTCGGCGGAATGGCATTTTCGTGAGGTTTCTTTTGAAACCCGCCTTTATAATAATGTTAGAAGGGGTACGATTCAGGTAGGTAGTATTACATAACGAAAGGATAACTGCTTATCATAAATCACAGATAGGCTATATAACATATTACCTATGACATTTATCTGATTGCGTTGCCGACAAGCCTTCGTAAAGAGTGAACCAGTTGATCCTATTGAAGCAACAAGTAAATGTTTAATTTACACACATTCTCACCTGTTAGCACGCGATGGCACTTTCTGGGAAAAACTAATGACATTTGATGCAGTGTACCTACAGTACCTACATTTTTTTAGTCTGATTTTCCATAATATTAACGTTGTGACTCCTCATTTCACAATTCGCATTAGTTATAATTAAACGAACGCGGTAGGTAAATAAAGCATTTAATACCATTTGTATTTCCGCATTTTACAGGATAATACTAACTAGATCGGAAAATATAAATATCCAAATCAAGTAGTAGGTACATGGAACTACCACTTAAATCAAAAGTGTAGGCTAAAATTTAACCAAATTATCGATAAATTTGTATGGGACCACAAATGAGCTGGCATACAAAATAAATGTGCTGGCTCTACTCCTAATAGCCTATAGCCTATTGTGTAATAAACAGACTCATTTTCACTGTGGAACACATGTCTGAAGTGTTTTTAGTGCCTAGTTTTTTGTAGTGAGATATTCCATCATGTATGAGATTTCGCCTATACAACTGAAACATTATATATTTTTTTAAATTATATATTTACCTAGTACCATACCGTTACAAAGTTAGTATTATATTTGTCTAATGAAAGACTACATTTATTTCCTGACAGATGACTTTAAAGAGACCATATGGCTGCTCAACTTCCTGTGTTTAATGGCAGACAATCATGACTACTAACATTAATAAGATGGGAGACAGTTGTCATTAGTATCTTTACACAATATAGTTATAGCTCATTTTCCAATAGCAGGGTTAAACTGAACAAGCAATATTTACTATTGCATCACAAAAATGACTATTTCTTGACATGGCAATTAGAGGATCATTGAGATGGATGTTTCTGCAAATCAAATCCATCTTTATCAACTATTCAGCTATTTTATATTTATCTAATTTATATTTATCTAACATAACACTTATTCCCTCCTTAAATTGTGGCCTCATGGATGGATAACACTACAATCATTTTGTATGTCTCGCAAAAGCACTATTAATAAACAAACAACTAACAGTTCTGTTAAAAAATAAATCCTTTTATGAAGGTAGCCAGCAAAGCAGCATATTATCTTCAAAAAAATATTTTTCTATGATGTTGCCACCTTATTAAAACAAAAGATTTTTTCCAATACATATTGCTTTATTTTACCAGTATAATAAAATACTATCTACTACTTCATTAAATTTGATATTGTTTTGAAATATGGATTATATTACTCTAAACTAAGGAAGCATTAAGAAATATACAATTTCAAAGCCACATCACCCAGAGTAACAATTTGTGGAACACACAGTTCCAAGTGGCAATCAAACCCGCTACATGTTGTATTACATGGCAGCCAGTTTTTATTAATAATTGTTAGACCAACAACCTCATAGAACCTATTACTAATAAAACAATAAATAAACTTACTAATGATCCAAAGTGAAACTGATTAAATGGAGGCTATTGTGGGATAATAATTAATAGACTAATGACCAATAAAAATAGTTTGCTTAAATTCACCTTAATAACACCTTAAAATACATGACTGAATATCTTCAATGACATGTTATAGATATAGAGTAAGCAGTGTATCAGTCAAATGTCACTCAATGTGTTTAGATAGATCAGGTCCTGTCACCTGATAACACATGATGAACTGGGAAATTGACCTTTCATGATTACCATATGTTTCAACATTGTGTCTTATCATTCAAACTGATTATCTTTCTGTTTTCTATAGACACAGAATCAAGTGTTAGTACAGTAAATATTGGTAAATGCAATTTCACGATTCTTTTGACAGATCTTGGTTCAAGTAAGTCTTATAAATAAGGTACATGCATGCGACATAAGCTCACCTCAAACACCCCGAGGCACCTGCCCAGCTTGCCGATGACTCCGGCTTCTTCGAGCACCTCGCGCATTGCGGTCACTGAGGGCTCTTCTTCGGGCTCGACGCCGCCACCGGGTACTATCCAGTTGTCAGGACGTCGCGACGATGTCACCAGAAGCACCTACACGGCACAAATGCAAACACACCAACTGAATAACTTCGCCACAATATTTATTACACCGCAACAACAGAAATACAACGCTAACCTCTGTTTCGGCGTCAGAACGAACGCAGATACACGCCGCGCGACGTCTAAATCCCTCGTCGTCGTAAATCCGAATCGAGTTAGGCTTCTCCTTCACCATTTTTACATTAAACACGTAAACACGAACTAAACAGACGAGCACAAACGAAAAGCTGACATCAAATACAAAGAAAAACTATGAACCGAACGTAATTTTTTAATGATCAACAAACGCCATAACCGAAGTATCCTATGTTGAACGTATCCATTTTCTACTAATAAAGTTACACAACGTACATGTAAAATGAAACTATAATAACAATAACGCTACAATTAGAGCAATATTTCAGCTATAACTAGCTTTTGATAGCGTATTTCAAGCCCATATTGAATGGTGCCTGACGTATTCTTTCTTTGCGAAAATCGAAATAGGTTTTGGAAAGCAATACGGAATCTATCAGCTGACAGCCGGAAGTCGGAAACGGTATTGCCCTTTATTTATTAAGATTTTACATCTTATTTCCCAAATGTTGCTATTTACTGTTTTAAATTATGAAAATATAAGAATTTAGTTGGTTTAAACAAAAACTTTATCATGAAATTATATGTAAAATATAATCTAAATAATTAATTACATTAAAATATTTTTATTTTCTCAAAAAAAAAAACTATATATATTCTGAATCGAATTTAGGTATCGAATTTCAAAAACAAAGAAATCATTAACCGAATGTAATTGTCATAAAATATCTGTAATAAAGTTTTTTTATAATAATTCCAGCACCTTAGTCGATTTTTCTTTGTTTTTGACTTACAGATTTACAATATTGTAGTATTTTTAAAGGCAGAGATATATTACTGTGTCTTGGCAGTCGTTTCGCATCCAGAAGCCTTTTGATTTTATACTTGTGCTATGTTTAGGGTATGGACTCATTATAGTAACTAAGAAGTTAGGTCCATGTTTGTGTACTAAGTCCATGGGTTAGTAATACTCATGCACTAAATGGACTGACCGACTGACTGACTGAGTTTTTATCTTTAAATTTTGTTTAACGTCCAAAATAGACTAATTGAAATAATTTATTTTGATTTCAAATTGTTTTTGACATAGACAAAATTGGGGCTTTCTGTCGGGACACGACACGTCACGCCAGATAAGTGTATTTTTGACCTTACAAGGATGTCGATGGACGCTGTAGTACCACTCTAGCTTTAGAATTTCTATTAGTCTATGAATATGTTTGAGTTTGTTGACAGTTATTTTATTTGAAATTAATTTCAGTTTTTAGTTTTACTTTAAAGTTTTTCAGGTAATATGGGTAAGTTATTTATGTATACACATAACAATTAAATTGATAGTCGATCTAGACATTTCGACTTCGTACATAACAATTAAGTTGATAACTTGTAGTTGTATTTGAATTATTGGAATAGTCGTGTTTAAATGGAATGCTATGAAACGGTAATTGAAACTAATTACAGAGAAAAGCTTCGACTTTGGAAGGCTGCTGAAGAATCATGAGAAGAAACACAAGAGTAAACCATCACAGTTCGGCAGTGTAGCTGGTGGGGTGTGTGTCTAGACTTTATATAAAATCACAAAGTTGTTGTTATCATGATGCATGGGCTAGAACCCTCCTGTAATGTAGGTATAATGAGGTGCATTCATATAGCTATAGTTTGGTTGTAATGCTATTGTGATTTCATTCTGTTGGTTCATATTAGCATGTATATGTATGGTCATAGTCATCTTGTTTGTTTTCATTTCCGCTTACACTTACATTACACTTACTTATTCATTCTCTGGGATTGTCTCCAATTATCTACAGCAAATAATAATAATCCAAATATTTCGTTACACTGCATTTGCCACAAATTATACTTTATGGATGCACCATTTTCATTCAATCAGACAGTACTTTCAACCAAGTAATCAGAATAAACTTGTGTTGCAGGTCCAGAAACGGCTGGAAAACAATTTAAAGTATAGAAAGAGTTGCCGTCTTACAGTGTTTGATAACTTGAGGAATTTGTCCAAATGTGAGAGTCCAGCTCCAGTATCCAATGTCCAATCTAAAGTGGAACACAGGAGGCAGCAGCTGGAGAAATGGAAGGAGGAAAAGGAGAAAAAGAAAAAGGAAGCTGCTTCACAGAAGAAGAAACCGTTTGTGGCCGGAGTGCCACATGCACCACTTAAGTTTGTGCCACCACCGCCTCCTCCAAAACCAATGCCTAGTACATCTGGCAGAGTGACACGGTCACAGTCAGCCCGGAATAGTGTTAAAGCAAAAGAAAACAAGGAGCTTAAGTCTGCATCACAATCATTTGCACCAAAAAATGCAGCATTTAAACCTCCAGAAATAAAAACTTTGACAAAGTTACCAAAATTATTTGCTCCCACATCTAAAAAAGACAAGAAACATAATATAACATTTGACCCTGTGCTGCCACCTAACACCCAAAAGGAGTCTACAAAACAGACACGATCTAAAACTCTGAAACAGACTGTAGAAGTGAAAGCTGTGCGAAAGCAAGCTGAGCGAGCAACCAAGGGGAAAATGGGTAAACAGCTTGCTAAAACAAATAAGGCGATAGTAGCTGTTCAACAACAGAGCACTTCATCATCAAATGAATCAGATTCAAAACAGGAATATTCTCCGATCTTGATGAATAAAGTTACCAGGAAATCTTTACCAGCACCAAGTTCACCTCAAGTTGTTACCAAACCTTCTCGGAAGTCTACACCAACACACACAACACCAAATAAACCAGTGCCAAGGAGTGAGTCTAGCTCTGAAGAACGGCTGCGATCTCCTAAGTCTTTGGATAGCATTCAAATGACTCCTGAGCAGATTGCAGAAGAGGCCAAGAACATCAGTCCTTGTGTCACCATGTCTCGGGGTAAGGACAATGCAAGGAAGGAGATGAAAAAGAAACTAGATGAAGGTATGTACCGCTTACTGATATTTGAGAGGAAATTGATGACAACAATTTATCTATTGCTAATTTTAGTAGGTTTTTAATTGTTAACATTTTTTTTCATAATTTATAGGGCTTCTGGACGAAGATGCCAGCCACATGGAGAGTGTGGACCACTTCCGGCGTCAGCTGGCCTCCGAAATTAAGCGTATGACTGAGATGTGCGATACTTGGGACAAGATTTCAGAGCAGACTGTGTTACCAGAGTCTGTTCAGGTAAACTATTTTAGTAGTGTCGGATCCGGCGGGTAAATCCCGTGTGTTATTATTGTGGGGACCACTCGCAAGACACAGTGAAGCATACTGTTTGTTTTAGGAGTATAACTTTCGTAAAAAAATGCTCGATTGAAACACTTGTTTATTGTGATGGTTGCAGGAGGCAGTACTGTCGGCAGTGGGGCAGGCGCGGCTGTTGATGTCGCAGAAGCTGCAGCAGTTCGCGTCGCTGGTGGAGCGCTGCGCTCGCCCCGAGCCCGGCACCGCGCTCATTACTCCCGCAGACTTGCATGGCTTCTGGGACATGGTGTTCATGCAGGTAATAAATTTCTTCATTCTGAATGTTTTTGGACATAAGCATTTTGTCTTATAGTGTGTGGGCTTATTTACTTTCATGTTATTAATCGATGCATCTCACTTGCTGTCACTAGCGTTTCCCTTTGTCGAAAGAGGTGGAAATAGTGTCGCCGAAATAGTAGTGCCATTAAGTATGATGAAAACTTCAATGTTATCACTGATTGTAATATTAATTTACAGGTTGAGAATGTTGACATGAGGTTCAAGAAACTGGAAGAGTTGCGCCGCTGCGGCTGGGTCGAGGATCAACCTGTTGAGGTCAAGAAGAAGGTGGTTAGACCTAATGCAGTAGTGAAGAAAGCAGTAAAGCCAACTGGTGGCCCCAGCAGATTGAGGGAGATGATTGCCGGTAATTTGTTATCTTCCATCAAATTCAAACAAATAATTAAACAAATTTGCTGAGAAAAGAACGCACTTTTGCTCATCTCGTGTGTGCCTCTAGAGCAGTTCCTATCAAGCCTTGCAGGTGTACCAAAAATCTTTTTATAATCCAGTCTCGATTTATGCCACAACATTATCTTTTACGTTTTTTTTTATGGTATAGGTCTACAAACCAAGCGCGGATCCAGCCTTCAAAAAAGGTTGTGGTCACAGCTACTAGAAAATCGGCTAAGTACGAGTCGGACCATGGACATGCTCATTAACAATCATGCAAATCGTGTATGAACTTATGAATTAGATTTTCTTTTTTCTGAGCATCAGGACTTTGGCATTAGGAATGTAAATAAACTTAGGAAGAAGTTTTTTTTTTATGTGATAGGACGGCAAACGAGCTCACGGACACGATTTCTTCTAATTTCTAATAATCAGTTTCGATCCAAACCTATTTGTGTTTTTGTAGGTTGTGGGCATGCCCGTCGTGCCCACAACGGTGGATCCGCCCTTGCTACAAACGAGCCAACAGATTACCTGGTAAGCAATCGGCGCCGCCCATGGACACCCGCAACATCAAAGAAGTTGTTGTTCAGTGCGTTGCCAGCCTTTTAGGGATAAGGGTTTAGGATATTTAAGGATTGGGAAGGGATGGGGTCACATGCCGAAACACAACTGTGGTTGTTTCACGCCGGTTTTCTGTGAGGCCTAGGTATCACTCCGGTCCAGCCGACTTATTCGCGTCGAAGCTTGGCTCTCCCACAAAAATGCGAAATTAATTTTAAAAAGTAATTCCCCACCCAAATAAATAGAACTTGCTGTTACAAACAGTTGTCTGATTCATGAAACCACATTGTAGCTGCAAGAAAAGCCAAGAAGGAGCAAGAGGAGGTTGTCCCTTGCACGTTGCAGCCGCCTGCAGAGGACAGCAAGACATTCGAGGCAGGCTTCTTTAGCGTGCGGTCACCGGTTCGATCCCCGGCTCGGTCCTCCCACTCGCCCGCACCGCGCACTCCCGCCAGTAAGAACAGCTTGCTCAAAGCTGTGCTCTCTAGTGAAGCTAAGAAGGCTTCAGCTAGCAAGGTATGGTGATGTCATACAACATGCTTGAGCTATTTTTCAGAGCATGATCAAATTATGATCGAAAATTACATAATTGACATGACAATAAAATTAAATTATTTCATTTCAGAACTCCGCCTCTTTTGCGATGTTGCGCGCGTCAGTATTTGGCAAGAATGTAGAGTGTGAAGGGATAGCATTACTGCCGGTAAGCAAAATATCTGTGCTCCAAAAATATGTTAAAAAAATGTGTTTCTTCTTAAATCTCCTTTTCTATGTACTTATCATATTCAACATGTTTCTCAATTCCCACAGCAAACACCCACACCTCTAACTCCTATCAATCTGTACGCGACTCCCGGACGCAGTATACTCAAAGGCGCTAATACCAACACAAACAACAAATCCACTAGAAAGTCTATCAAGATGGTGTTGTTCAACCGCTCCGACACCGACATACAGGACGTGTCCTATCGCACTGCAGGCAGCGAAACACATGAAGAAAAATCCGACGAAATACAAAAGGATAGAGATATTTCTTCTATAGACTTTGAGAAGATTGAGAATAAGGAAAATTCTAGAAGAAAGTCCAAGCTTGTGAGGCAGGATGCTGAAGACAGGAGTCCTGTAGTGACGAGGAGTCGACGCAAGAGTATGAACACTACTGTGGATGAGAATGTCCTTACTCCGCGGAGGTCATCACGCAAGAAGGTACTCCACGAGTCTGAGGATAATATGGTCGAGGAGAAACCAAAGCGTTCGGCCCGAAGACGTAAGAGTGGGGTCCAAGTGCAGAACTGAGGTTAGTGGATGGGATAGCAGGACCTTTATTGCCATTTTATTGTAGCCGTAAAGCTATAATAAGTATGTTAATTATTGACTTTAATGCGTTTAAAGCTTTATTCACTAAGGGTTGCGTGAACATGCGTTCATGACGTCTACATTTTTTTCTCTGATTCCCAACATATTATTATGACATATCATTTATTTAAACTAAAATTTTAACTTCTAATTATCAGCATTGATATGAACTTAAAAGCTTGCTGTACATCAAAGTAGTGTTTACTTGAGTGTGAGAATCCGCTACTAAATAACGCCATAGGATTTTTATTGTAAAAGTAACTAGAACAATTAGTAAATGAACACCAGTTGATTAGCATATTGTTATAAGCAGGGTGAAGAGCTCATACAGAGGCCAAAATCTATATTTTTTAATATTTGTATTTTAACTTATCATAGAGGTTTCAAAGATAACAAGAACCTTTCTTATAGTTTTAAAAGTTCATGAAATCCCAAGATTTCACATAACTTGCGTTGTAATTAAAGCTTGTATCTTATTTTAGTGGAAATATTGAAATGATCATGTTTAGTTATGGTACATTATGTTTGATATTTTTTGAGAATGTTAGTATGAACGATAAATAATGTGATTTTAATTAATCTGATCCAGTTTGTGTAGATTTAATTATTTGTTTTTATTTTTATTAGTGAGGTAGTCTCTGAGAAAGTGCCTTTTGAAACAGTTGATCATTGCCTGGTCTGAGAACAGCTTACAGCATATAATTTTAATGGACATGATTCATAGTACCAATATGTACCTGATTGACATTACCCATACGCAAGGTCTAAAAAACTAAATTATGGTTAAAACTTTTTCAAAATATTTAATAATGCAGCATTTATCTTTTGGACTTGAATCTTTGTAAAATTTGTAAGTGCTTGTTGGGAGTTGATGAACAGGTACCGATTTGCTGTGAAGTATATTATTATAAAACCAAACTCCGTAATGGGGACCTCTTTTCTTCTTAAATTCGAAGTATTATGTTCAATAAATAAGTAAGAGGCTGCCTCGGTTCGTGTTAAGTTAGTTAATGTCGACTATGTGTGTGATGTGTGGAGTATGCCATGATTATTGTACAATAATAGTAATTATACAAAGTTATTAATAAATAATGCCTTTTATTTTTATCTAACACTCCTCAAAAGTGGTTATAAGTTCGGCGCTAACAACAGTTATTGGTCCGTGACAATTTATACCTATCAATCTCTAGGTTTTTACTCAGTTGGTACCCACTGAGTAGAAATCATCAGTAAAAATCATAGCAAATGATCAGCGACGTAGAATATTATTATATTTACCTATATTGATACTTTGCCGGATATGCCGCGATTGTAAGAACAAGCGTTGTAAAAAAAATGAAACGAAAATTAGCTTTCTTCTCAGTCGTACTGCCCTCGTGGAGACTCGGGGCCAATGTACGATGATAAGTAACAGTTGAGTGATCGCGTTTAGACCCACTGCTTTAGATTCTTTTACCTACAATGTCCTCCACACCATCAGCTCCAGAAAAATATGCAGGAAATTGCGCGAGATGAGGGTGGTTACGAACTCCAGCAACGAGGAGGGTTTCTGTCTGTAAGTAATCAAGTCAATTCACAATTAACTTGTTTAAAACCGACGGTGACCTACTTAGGGTTTAAAAGAGCGACTGAAAAGCATCGAGCGTAATGTGCAATTTGAAAGCATGGCTTACGTAAGCGGGGGATGTAGCGCAGGCACAGGTTCGAGCCAAGTGCAGGGCATAACTAACAGGAGTTATCCGTTGGCAGTGCTGGCCCACTACACTGACACATTAAGCGCGGTGCCAACTCGTTATCGCGACAGCGAGGATTCCGAATAAAAACTAAAGTAACTTAGGAACTCCTCTTTTGTTCCTAATGCTAATAGTATATGCAGTTGCTGGGATTGAGTAAGGTTTACTTTGGCATTCACGAGAATTTAAAATTAGCATTTACTTGGAGGTAGTTATTGGAGGAATTTTTTGTAGGTATAGGTACCTACTTATTTCAAATATGTATCTAATAATGATGACCTACTTACATACAATAAATACAAAATAAAACAAACAGTACAACCGTTTTATTAATAGATAACAATTAATAAAAAACAAACATCCATTACAGTTGCTTCATCTAAAAAGGAATCTCAAGCAATTCCCCGACACTTGACGTTCCAACTGGCCCAAAATGAAAATGGCAGTAAAGGTTGCGATAATAATAACAATTAAATTACTCGTCCTTTGTTAAACCGGAGATAACAATGACTCAGATTAAGTATATCTATGCAAATTCAGAGTGGGCGGAAAACAGTAATAGGGGGTAATTTTGGCTCTCGTTGGCAATACTGAAAATGGTTAGGAAAATACTAAGAAATATAAGATACTTATTTCCTTTTTAGGACGTTGGAATTGTTTGGTTAATTTTAATTCTGACGATGCCCCTAAATTGTTTTAGTTTTTCAAATTAATAGTTTGAGCTCTGCCATTGCTCTAATTTTACCAGTAGGTATATACATAGTCTGGCCATAAACAAAATATTAGATTTGAATTTGGAATCTGTTATTTTTATATTTTTTAATTGTGTTTTCTTATTTTGGCGCCAATAAATTGTTCAATATTTTGCGATATTAAAATGGAGTGGGGTGATAAAGAGAACCGAATCGCTGTGATTGCATTACACAAAGTGGGTATGGAGCCAAATGCAATTTTTAAAATTCTCCACACGCTTGGCATTAGTCAAATGTTTGTGTACCGGGCTATTAATAGGTACAATGAGATCTCCTCTGTTTGTGACAGAAAAAGATCTGGCCGTCCATGTAGTGTTCGTACGAAAAAGGTGGTCAAAGCAGTAAGGGAAAGAATTCGAAGAAATCCTGTCCGAAAGCAAAAGATTTTATCTCGGGAGATGAAGATAGCACCTAGAACCATGTCGCGTATTTTAAAAGACGACTTAGGACTTGCAGCCCTATAAGAGACGCACTGGACACTTTTTAAATAATAATTTAAAAAAGAATAGGGTTATAAAATCTAAACAACTACTGAAGCGGTACGCAAAGGGAAGTCACAGAAAAATTTTGTTTACGGATGAGAAAATTTTTACAATTGAGCAACATTTTAACAAACAAAATGACCGTATTTATGCTCAAAGCTCTAAGGAAGCTTCTCAATTAGTCGTCAGAGTGCAACGTGGGCATTATCCGACTTCAGTGATGGTTTGGTGGGGTGTTAGCTATGAAGGAGTGACTGAGCCATACTTTTGCGAAAAAGGTATCAAAACATCGGCACAAGTGTATCAAAATACCATTCTTGAGAAGGTAGTTAAGCCCCTTAACAACACCATGTTCAATAACCAACAATGGGCCTTCCAGCAAGACTCGGCACCGGGTCATAAAGCTCGGTCCACGCAGTCTTGGTTGGAAACGAACGTTTCCGACTTCATCAGAGCTGAAGACTGGCCTTAATCCGCTGGATTATAATTTATGGTCAGTTTTAGAGAGTAGGGCTTGCTCTAAACGTCATAATAATTTGGAGTCCCTAAAATAATCCGTACGATTGGCAGTGAAGAATTTACCCATGGAAAAAGTGCGTGCTTCTATTGATAACTGGCCTCAACGTTTAAAGGACTGTATTGCAGCCAATGGAGACTACTTCGAATAAGCTTTTTATGTTTTAAATTGTTTTATATTTATGTATTAAACTTACACAGTGTAAAAGTAATAAATGTTATTTGCAATAGATTTGTAATATTTTTTTTATTTGTTACAGTATTTATGGCTATAGGTATAGGAATTGTAGAAAGTTTGGGACTATTGGGACTATCTGACTTTCCAAACGGAAGTCTCGTTTGTCATATTAAATTTCTTTTGGTATCATAAGCCTATGAGTGCCCACTGCTGAGCAAATGCGGTTTGAGAATTGCGGCTTGCAGCGTATTGGAAATTTCAAAAAGCGACCTGCATCCAACGGCTTATAGCAACTTTTATCCTGAATTTAACACAGACAGAGACAATAAAAACGATACGATTCTAGAATGGAGTTAAGTTACGTAAAGTTACTTAATTTGGAATCAAAATTCTTGACCCTTCTCCCTTTTGCGGTCCCCAGACAATTGCATAGAGGGCTAGTCAGTTAGGAGAGGAAGTTAATAAACATATTACAAATGGAAATATTTTGTAGTTTATTTTTGTACCGTACGTTTAAAACGTTTCGGTGTACTATTTGTTTTATTATCTCGTAATAACTTGGAGTCAATGAAACAATGAAACAATGAATTTATTTTTGCAAATAGGCCATAAAACGGCACTTTTACACGTCAAATTATATGTGAAAAACTAGATGAAGCCGGCATTTCCTATCTGACTACTCTGAGAAGAAATGCCGAAACAAACTCAGAGGTCAGTCTCTTTTCAAGTCCAGACAATATAAAATAACATAATGTGAGAGAACCGTGCAAGTTCATTCTGTAGTGGACTTTTGAGGAAAGAACCACACCAGTTTAAGTGGACCCGTTCTGAAGACAGGCACGCAAGTGTCAGTTTGCAACCAGTATAGCTAGTGCTGTTGAGTTGTCCGACGAACAATACCGATCAAAAGAACATTTGGGTGGGTCGCGCAAGTACTCAAACTGTCAGAACGCAGATGACTGGTGATCAAAAAGCACGACAAGTCTCAGACGGTCCTTACACTAACAATAATATAAAATAATAAAAATGTCAAAAAATAAATAAAAAAAAATGTCAAATAAAAAATAAAAATGTCACAATAGGTGATCATGTCACTGTATAAAAAAAAAATAAACGTAATGTCAAATTGTATATAAAAGTGTAACTTATGTTACAAACATGTCAACATGACCTGTGCAGACATTACAGCGGCTCATTCCCAAGCCTGACTATCCTCTAAGTAGTCTTTTATTTTATAAAATGCTTTACAGCAAAGTTTAGCCTTTATTACACTTTTAAATTTATTGAGGCTCAAATTTTGAATATCGCTAGGAATTTTATTGTAAAAGCGTATACATTGACACCTAAACGAACTACTTATTTTCTGAAGCCTGGAGGCAGGCACAACATATTTGTTTTTCCCCCTCGTGTTGATATTATGTATATCACTATATTTCTTAAATACGCTTTTGTTTTTATGAGCGTGAATTACATTTTCATAAATATATTGAGTCAGAATCTCGTTGTAAGTAAAAAATTCCGCTTAAACTTGTCTCGTAGCAGCGTTTTTACTACGTGAACATTTCTTGAAAATAAATACATAATAAAAACGTGCATTTTACGAGCCGAGTTCCGCTGTTACTAGTGACGATGAGAAAATGTCGATAAAGATGTAAAAGTTTTGAGATAAATGACTTTAAATATACATAAAGTTACATTCATAGATTAATAATTATTTAAATCAAAAAGAAAATCGCAGAAGAGCTTAGTTGAGGGATAGAGAGGAGACCTCAAAGAAGACCTCAAGTGTCACTTTGTGGCGCCTCATTTTTCCCTTGGTGCTGATTGCCAGAATTTTGAGATTGAGCTAACCTAAAAAGTGCCTGTAAGGGTCTAATGAGCGCGCCCTAACAGAACCAGACCCGAGCGTACGGCGCGTAGCGTTCAGCGCGCGTCTCATAGAGCCAATAGACGATTACAGACGGACCCTATAGGGCTGATGTTCAGCAGGAGTTGCGGGGAAAGCGCAATAAGGCACCGCGACCTCGTCTCAGAGCAGGTGACTAAAAACCCAGACAGACTCTGGCTCTGGGTGGGAGAAGTCATTTGATGATTTTCCCCTGATAAAAAAGGGTCTAATTGAAATAAATGATTTTGAATTGACTTGACTGAACCAATTAACTACCTACACGATACTAAACTTCAATTCGGTAAATAATATGTAAGAGATAATTATTTATTTAATTTTAGATATTTCTACAACATGATTATACCGATAACTGACAGTATCGTCACTGTGACTTTGCCCGCCTCGGGTCGGCAGTATTGTGGCTCCTGCAGGAATTTTATTTCACTTCATTTCGCTGTGACTTGCGCCACGTTCACCAAACAAGGAT